CCACCTCGATCTGTTAACAGTAGCAGACTGAGCGGCTTTCATTACCAGTGTTATGAGGCTTTCTTAGCTTCTTCTGATGCTATTAGCCATTTCCCTCAAATCTTTCATTTCTTAGTTTCAGTCTGTTGCCACACAATCCATTGTGTGAACTTAATTCTTGCTACCAGCAAGGGGTCATAAATGAAGCAGCAATCATTTAACTTATCGCTGGCATACAGTCTTCTTTGGAATTACAGTCAGGCTCATGTATAGGACGCTAGTTAGAACCCACGCAATGTACTGCATCTAAAGGACTTTTGGTTGTTGTGGAGGTTTTGTGATTTTCTTTCCTGCTCACTTCCTCTGTCCCTGCATTCTGAGCCAGCTTTCTGCCCCTACATGTAGATTAATAATTTGTGTTTTGTTTTACTTTTCCAAAAGACATTGCTGGTCAGACATTTCAGTGTTAAATTAGGTTTTGGCACGTATGACACCAACAGTCTAGAGAGAAAAACCAAGAATAGTGCAGCATGCATTTCAAAGGAATTGTTTTTATGGGGAGCATGCTGTCGGAACCACTGTGACCATACAGTGCACTGCAGACTGTAATCCTTTCTTACCTTTTTAACTTCTCTGGTTTTCAGCAAGTGCCAATCAGGGAATTGTTTTTAGATGCAGTTCTTTCCCGCAGCAACTCTGCTGGGAAGGAACTTGTTCATCTGTGTAGGAGCGGGTATAAATTGAAAAGAAATTCTGGACCGTTTCACTGAGTGGTTGTCATCTGAAGAACACATGTAAGCACAGGGCTTGTTTTAGGGGCTTAGGCCGTACCTTCACATAAAAATTCATGCTTAGAAAAGAAAAGCATTTGGCTTTGTGGTTTAAGTGCAAATCCATACAAAAAGATTGTTGCTGTGATCTATTGGAGTGAAACTTTGATTCCTGACACAGCAGATCTTTGATGTGCTGGCAATACCAGTAATTAGAGATGGAAATGCATTAATTTCACTCTTCTGAATTATGAATGAAGAAATGTACCTTCTAGCTCATCAATCACTGGCAGGGCCATTTCAAAAAGAGAGAATGTATGCTTTCCAAGTTTCAGGTTAGCACAGCAATGAGTGCCTCATCCTACATAATGGATTAAATGTTGATCAATGAGACAAGCATTGCCCTTGGGAAAGGAAGATGTCATAGATGTCATCATTTATATGTGAAAGAAGGAAACTGGCTTTAGCATAGTCTTCTGTAGGAGATGCGCACAGGCCAGACCAGATTGATTCTAAAGCTCGTTCTTCAGGAACACAGTTCTGTTGTAACTTGCACGTTAAATTTAGGGAAGACAAAACCCAAAATACACAGCTGACAAGCAGCTCTTTTTTCTTTTTTCTTTTTTCTTTTTCTTTTTTTTTTTTTTAGGTAAAACTGCCTGAAAGTTTTAATCCCATATGTGAGGCAGACAGATGTTCCAGGGGGCTGAGTAGGGGGCTGTTGAGATTGCTGGGTGGAAGACATACCAGCACTGTGCAACACCAGCTCTTCTCCGTTAGGAAGAGCCAATGCTCAAAGATAATAATTTTAAAAATATGCCTATCAGTTCACTAAATATAGATGTGTCTGCTTCGTTCTTCTGGGCTAGTGTCTTAATTCCTCTGGGATTTGCTGTCCGGTAGCAAAAGATAGAACATCAAGAGATTGATCATGCTTAAGTATGTATGTTGCTCTATTAATAAGCTGATTTTATTATCTTCTTTTGCCTGCAAATAATAATGTCCTTTATAGGTAAGTTAATTTTGTTGTAATTTAGGATCAGTGTTGGTAGAGTCTGTGTTGTTTTTTTCGTGGCACACTGAATCAAGAACAGAAGAAAAGCAGAGCACTCAAGCAGTACCAGAACAGCAGTTACCAGCAAATGGCCATTTGTTCTTCAGTCTGCTTGGGCAGCCATCACCCTGGGATCGTGATATCACACTTGATTCCAGACTCCTACATACATGTTTTCTTACCCAAGGCGGAAAAAAATGAAGCGTTTGTTTCATTTTATGGGTAAAAAGTGTTAGTTTTACTTGTGTCAGATTTCAAAGGGATTTCCCTCGAGTCATGATGATGGTTTAACTTCAGAGATCGACCCAGGAGGTGCAGTTTTCAGACTTGGCTCAGTCACCGTGCAAAGCTTATTGGCTACAGTAAGATGGAGTTTCTCTAAACATAGCTGCAGGGAGAGACTGTTCAATTTTCTTATCTCATTTTCAGCCATTTGAAAGTGCTGTCATCTTTGTAGGAGACAGAACTTCTTGACGGTCTGCTTGTTTGCCATTCAGTGGTCTTAGGAGCTTCATGAACATTCAGCAGTGGAGACTTTATGTGACTTTATGAGACTTATTGAGACTTTAAAAATGATGCTGACTTGTAACCTAGATACCTTAGAGTTAAAAAAAAAAAAAAAAAAGTAAACAGTGAATTCAGGTGCTCTGCTGAATTGTACAGAGAAAAAAAAAAATTATTATTATTTTTTTTTCTTTAATTTTGGTTATTGGAATGACCATAGTTACAGATTTTAAAATAGCCTTTTCCCATCCCTTCTTGCTCTAGAGAAAACAGATGCAAAGTAAGCAAGGTAAGGATCAGGGAGGAATGTGTGTAGTCAGTCTTGAGAGACTCTGGTTGGAGACTAATAAAGCCAGGGTCTTGAGGCTTAGTCTGGGAAATTATGCTGGGGCTTTCAAGTTACACAGTGCAGCATCCACTTGCTCCCAGTTCCAGTTGCGTGCACCCTGCACATGGAGGCACAGCTACAGAATCTTCAGATCCTTCTGTTTTCTGGCCTCAGTTGCCTCAAGAAAGGTTGCAAGAAGGTTCTCCCCTGGTGATGCAGGGAAACTCACTCCCTGTCTCTCACAAATCTGAGCACAAATTGCTCTTTTAAAATGCATAGCAACAAGAATTGGTGAGAAGTGTTTTTATTTACTAGCACACTTGGCCCACAGAATAGACCTCCAGCTCCTTCCTGCCAGATTTACAGCCTCCTATTTCCTTTCTGCTTTTCTGACGCATGCTGCATCAGCATGGCAATTTGGTGGGCAGCCTGGTTTCGTTAATGTATTTAAGACTGGTCTTGAAAGCTCCTCTTGGGTTGATCCCCTTAGGGGGAAGTGTAGAGCAATGCTTAATTTCTTGGCTCTGATAAGACCCAAGGTTAATGCTGACTTGCTAAGTCTTACTGGTAGTTCTGTGATATTTCAGCCGCCGTTAGGATCAAGGCAAGCTTTAAAGAAGAGATGTTGGAGACTGGAGAGTTCAGATTCAGGAAAGTGGGTATTTTCTCTTCTGGCTTTGGCAGCTAGTTGTGCTCAGTTCCCAAACAGTGTGTCTGAGTACGCAAGCAGACCTTGGTGGGCCGATCAGAGTATCAGATCCTTAGGCTTATTACAAGAAATCCTGTCTGCTTGTCACTGGAAGAGCGCACACTTCTTTCCCTTGCAAAATGGTGATTGTGTGTTCATAGTGCATCTTCTCCTGCCCCCACTGCAGGCTGAAGCCTTTGTAACTTGATGAATATTGTGAGTGGAGGCACATTAATTGAGCACACAAACATGTAATTATCCATACAATTAGCCAATTGATTTCTTCTTTTTTCAGCTTTGCTTACAAATATGGGAGCACAGTTATTTAGTTGAGCAACTTATCTGAAGCCAGAAACTTAATTAACATACAAAACATACAGAAGTAAACGTTGTTAAAAAGATAGATCTACTTGTGGTACCCACCTCTTTCCTTTTGGTGTGTGATTTGCTAAATCTGAATATTTTCACCTAAGGCTGTCACGTGGTTTCTGCCTCACCTCTGTCCTTTATACTGCTGCACATGTGGCATGTTTCCTTGTAGAAATGGCACTTTCTGTAGAAATTGTTCAGAGGTTGCAATTAACCCATGTGTTGGCTTTGGTCGGGAAGAAGCTGTACCTTGTGCTTGCTATCAGATCAGTGCTACAATGTTTTTAAAGCTGTTTCATTCCCATGAAATGGGGAATGCCTACTAGCCTTGTAGGAAAGCCTACTGAAGTAATGGGGTTGCTGACAGTTGCTGTGTGCTGCAACTTCTGGAAAGTAACAATGGCCTTTAAAATTGTCTGTAATGGTGCACTTGAAGTGTTACTGCATTTGGAGTTTTCTGTGCTGGGAAGCTGCCACTTTGTGGAGAATGAAGGATCTGGCAGTTTTTACCTTGCAACTCTTGTCTTTTGCAGTGAACAAAACCCAAAATTGTTCATGCTTGATGTCTGCAGCACTTATCCTTGTAGTTTGTCCTGTTACGTGTCATTAAATACTAAATTCAATTGTTTTGAGTTGGCTTTAAAAGAAGTGTGTGGAAAGGCAGTTTCAATAACAGGCAGTTTCAGTAAGGTACGAAGCTTCTGAATTGTGGCCATAGTTGTCCACATGTGAATCCCAACCTTCATCCAGCTGGCCAAACATAGTTTGCTGCTACTCAGTTCAGTTTGACCTTGTTCCTAGTGGTAGCTCCGAGATCTGACACAGGTTGACAGACTCAGCAAGTGAGTGTGTGAGAATAGAGATGTGAGGAGCACGGTACAGGTTTAAGTGCAAAGTGATAGCTGAGTCTGATTCTTTCTTGTTCTGCAACTTCCTAGACCAGCAGCAGCTCTGGGGACATTGTCAGGGTGCAGTTTGTGTGTGTCAGAGTAGATCAGGCTGGGGCTGGCTCCTTCACAGCCCGAAATAGACAGCGGTGCCTGACATAGGAAGAGTGCAGCTGTGCTCTGTGCCAGCAGGCAGAAGCTGCAGATTTTGCCTCCTAGGCTCAGGGTAGGGTTGTAAATAAAGCCTCTGGGGCTGGGCTAGCAGCATCTGTGTTGTTGACTGCTGTGCAAGTTCAGGCTCTGTAGCGTCAATTTAAAACAACTGAATTTGCTGGAAATGTTGAGTTTATATTCCCTTCCCTACTCTGATGCTGTTTATTCTACTGTGAACAACAACCACCTTCTTTCTATTCCTGTGCAGATGTCGCTCCTATGAGGACTGCTGTGGTTCGAGATGCTGTGTAAGAGCCCTCTCTATCCAGCGACTATGGTATTTTTGGTAGGCCGCAACTAAATTCCGGATTGTAATGTTTCCAGTGTCCTGTTCTTGTCTTGCTTGTAGGCTCAGAATCAGGGTATCGCCAGCCCTAGTGATGTAAAGTAAAAAAGGTACAAGTGTGCAGTAATGTGCACGCATAAATGAAAGGGCTCCTTTTTTTCAGTTATAATCAGTTATATCATGATTTTGTAATACCTTAAGCAGTAAAAAAAAATTTTCTGATGAGTAGAGGAAACACTGGAAAAGGAGGATACTTGTTTCAGGTTGGCTGTTCTCATTTCTGCATCCCGTTGGTCTACACAGCCAGTGGTCTCACATTTATCCTTACACCCATCCCAGCTACTTCCAGATGGCAGCATTTGTCCATTTTTGTTGGGCACTAAATTTAAAAATTTTTTAAGAAGATTGCATAAGGAGAGTTGTGCATTCATACAGGGTTTAAGACAGTCTCCGTGCTTCATGTCTTGAACATGTCATGACAGTTCTCTGTATTGAGGCTTCAGTTAAAATGAGAATGTCACTGGAGGTGACAAGGGAGAAGAAGGCAGAAAAGTTTAAGCTTGTGAAACCAGCAGCTCAGTAATGTGGATAAACCTTAAACTAATAACTTCTATATGCATAACAAAAAAATAAGGTAAATTCTTTTAGAGAGGAACTTTTTAAAGCGCTTGAATAAAACCTTCTCATTACAGTAGAGAGGAAGCAAAAGCTCTCCTTGAAAACCTGATTTTAGGCATTTTTTTATGTAGAATTTGAAGACTGCTTTAAAAAAATCCTTAAAAATTGAAGTGAGTAACTACTGAAAAATAGGAGCCTTATATAATGTAGAGATCTCCGAAAGCTGGCAGTGGGATTTCAGAGTACAATCCTTATGGATGTAACTGAGGAGTTCTGCATCTGCATCCGTAGAGTAAAATTGTGAATTCGCTTTCCTATTCAGAACAAATCCTTTGCAGGAACACTGCCAAAAAGAAATGTATTAATTTTGGCTCAGGGAAATAGTTCCTCATTCTGCTCTTGTGTCCACTGCAGAAAGAAGAACAAAATTTGATCCTGTTATAAAATGTATCTTAGTGTTGTTCAGCGCCATGGCTCCTCTCAGGCACCTGGGAGTGCTCTGGAGGAGATAAGCATGGTGTGTAGGCTTGCCTCTGGCCAACTTAAGGAGGAAAAAAGAATAATAAAATCCATTTCTTGCATCCAACCCTTCCAAAAGTGCACAGTTATCATAGCCTCCCTAGCTTCAAGGCCACAGTCACTATGATGTCTGATAAGTACTCAGATTCAGAAAAAGTCTCTATTCAAAGATGAAGATCTCCTGAGGCAGGGCATCTGAGCTGGGCAATCATCAGGAGGGGTTAGTCAGGTTGGAAAAGAAGCAGACAAGAACAGAAGCAAAATGATGGCCTTTTCCTTAAAAATATATATCTTGGCTAGGAAGTACAAAGCAAAATATGACATGGCTGTGATTCTGTCATTTTCACTGTTGAATGCTTCTGCTTGAGCTTGAGTGTTAGCTGCCATATTTTCCATGGGAGTCAAAATTACAGTTTTACTCATTTAAGAGCATAGAATCATAGAATCCTTAGAGTTGGAAGGGACTCTTAAAGGTAATCTAATCCTGCTCCCCTGCAGCGAACAGGGACATCTACAACTGGATCAGGCCGCTCAGAGCATCTTCCAGCCGGGCCTTGGATGTCTCCAGGGATGAGGCATCCACCACATCTCTGGGCAGCCTGTTTCAGTGCCACACTTACACCTAAGTCTAACGCACTCTTCTTTGAAGAGCAGAATTAGCATTCCTCTTTGTACAGCCAGTCCCCCTAAAATCTACTGACTAGCTTAGATGCTCTAAGAGCTAGACTTGGGTCTAGGGTATGCAGCTTGAAACTGTATGGGCCTAGCATTTCAGTTTCACAATCCAGTGTCATAAGTCAGATAAGAATCTGAACTTTCCAAAAGTTCAAGGCACTTCATTTCGGATTTGTGTTTTATATGCCAGAAAATATTCAACAATAATACAAATCACAAGAAATGTCCACAGTATGTACATAAGCAACTCAAGTTATAGCTATCTCAAATGACATAGACAACCCATCCAACCTTAATGATTCTGTGATTCTGTGATTTAAGAAACCCTGATAAGAGTTATAGATTGTTGGCTGATAGATGGTACTCTGTTGTTGAACAGTCTCAGTTTGAGAGCTCCCTGAATGCAGGTGGGTTTTGATCTCCTTCTTCTCCTTGCCTAGGTTCCTTTTGATGATGGGAGTTTTGTTCTGTTGTGGAGCTGGTTTCTTTATCCGAAGACGGATGTACCCTCCTCCACTTGTAGAAGAACCTACTTTTAATGTGTCTTACACCAGACAACCAGTCAACACTGCATCAGGTCAGAAAATGTTCATCAAACAAATTTCACCAATTTCTTACATTTGCCAAGGTATTGAAAAAGCATGTTTTTGGGGGGAGAGTGTTTGTATTTGAGAACTGGGGGATTTTGAATAGGAATTGCCCTGCACTGACCCACTCAGTCACCTCCTGTGATGAGTGAAGTTCTGCCTTCCAAATGGTACCGTACAGCAGCAGTGCACAACAGTATGTATGAGACCCAGAATAGCAGGACTTCTGTTGTGGTTCCTAGTATCTTCACAATAGTGTCCCCGTAAATGGAAGGAGGATAGTGAACGCTCACTTTGCAGTGCAGATGAAATGATGAATACCCAAAATCAACAGTGATATCTCCTCCATGTGAGGAATTTGGAAAAGAGAGCTCTAAGTATCATTAAATATAGTTGGTGAAATTTGACAGAGGGGAAGGAAAGCCAAACACTGTTCTTCCATTTGTCTTTCATATTCTGTGCTGTTTTTTCTGAGATATAGTTGCCCTTCACCCTTTGTTAGTCTGATTGCTGGTCCATCATGGCTGCGAGCATCAGGAGGATCCACATAGTGATGATTCCTCTGGCAATACTGTTTTAAGTTTCTTATTTCTTAGACTTAGGTGTTAGAGTCCCACTTGGGAGAATCCTGCAAAATAAGACTCACCTGTAAGGAGATGTTGGCACCTTGGGGGAGCACTTAAAATCCATCTGTCTCTAGTTGAAATACGTGAGGCATTGGGATCATATCTGAGTGGGCAATTGGGTATTTGTCTCTTCCCCATCCCAGGAAGGCCAAAATGAGATGCTTATCACCACGCTGCTGATGGCACACGCCTCTGCTAGTGCTCATCCATGAAAACACACATAGGCAGGCAAAGTTGGTATACTGACATTTCTCCCCCTGGGCTGTCCTTTCGTCACAAGACGGATTAAAGAGTGCTGAAGCCAGAGGGTAACTACCTTTTCTGACAAGTTTTTATGAACTGGTGATTTGTTCTAGTTTTACACTGCTTTGGAAGTGTAAGTAAAAGGCAATATTTTTCTTTGAAGAGGAGATCCCGCTGAAAATGTGGTGCTTCAGACTTCTCTTGAAAGAATTGTTTTCTAAACCATTATATCTCCATGCCATACTAGACAACCTGCACAGAAAACTATCGTAAAAGCCATTCCGGTGAGCTGTGACAAGCATGGTACAGAGACTGGAGCATTCAGGCTCTTTCCTCCATCATGCCTGCAGTTGGACACCTGCATGCAGAGTGCAGACTTTGGAATGCTGTTTATAACATGCTCTTTTCTTAAGAGCACATTCTTAAGCATGTGCTCATAGACATGCATTTCTCCCTCTCTGTCACAGCTCTAAGTGAATAAAAATGTTACAAACTAAGACTCCACTCACTCTTTTATATAAAAAAAAAATCCCAAGTTGTTTTTTGTTGTTTTTTTTTTTCCTAAGGATCCTGCAGCATCCATTCAGCTTTTTTTTTCTCATTTCACACATTTCTCCATAGAGTGAGAGTTTTCAGCAGTGGAGGGATGGGAGAGAGCTGAACTAACTGGAGGATATTCCTAAGCCTGAAAAATAGCTCCAAGATTAAGTAAACAAGGAGTGTCATTGGCTGGTTTGGTGAATTGGTGAAGCAGATTTAATTTCAGGACATCATTTTAGTTTTTCATAACACCTCGCAGAATATAATTTGTGGACAAGTATAAAATAAGCACAATATAACACTTAGGTAAACTGCATGCTCCACCTATTTCCAAGCTGTTATTACTGCTGAACTGTTATTACTGGCACCTGAGCTGAGCCTACCAATTTTTCTTCTACTTTGTTTAGCTGAAATTTTATCAGTCTCACAGCAATCCTGGATGTTTTCCACATTCGTGGAATCACAGAATGGTTTGATTTGGAAGGGACCTCACACCCACTTCCAGCCCCTTTGCCGTGGGCAGGGCTGTCAGCCACTAGTTTAAGTTGCCCAAGATCTGATCCAACCTGGCTTTGAACACCTTCAAGGATGGGGCATCCAGAGCTTCTCTGGGCAATCTGTCCCAGTGCCTTACCACCCTCTGCCTTACCACTTCTTTCTGACATCAAACTTAAATTTCCCTTCTTTTAACTTAAAAACATTTAATCTGTGCTGAGCAATCTTGTCCCACTTTGTTAGCCAGCAATAATTGATTTCAACTTAGATTTTTGCTTTGTTTACAGAATCACAGAATGGCCCAGGTTGGAAGGGGCCTCAAGGATCACGAATCTCCAACCCTCTGCCATAGGCAGGGCCACCAACCTCCACATTTCACAGCAGCCCCCAGGGCCCCATCCAACCTGGCCTTGAACACCTCCAGGGATGGACAGGGCATCCACAGCCTCTCTGGGCAGCTGTTCCAGCACCTCACCACTCTCTCTGTGAAGAACTTCTCCCTGATATCCAACCTAAATCTTCCCTCCCTCAACTTAAAACCATTTTCCCTTGTCCTGCTCTTTCCAAGAATTGACTCCCCTCCTGTTTGTAGGCTCCCTTTAGGGACTGAAGGCTGCCATGAGGTCACCCCTCAGCCTTCTCTTCTCCAGGCTGAACAAGCCCAGCTCCCTCAGCCTGTCCTCGTAGAGGAGGTGCTCCAGCACCCTGATCATCTCTGTGGCTCTCCTCTGGACCCTCTCCAACAGCTCCCTGTCTTTCTTGTTCTGGGGGCTCCAGGCCTGGACACAGCGCTGCAGATGGGGCCTCACAAGGCAGAGCAGAGGGGGACGATCACCTCCCTGTCCCTGCTGCCACTCCTCTTCTGATGGAGCCCCAGGATCCCATTTGCTTTCTGAGCTGCAATGCACACTGCTGGCTTATGTTAAGCTTTTCATCCATCAGGACCCCCAGGTCCTTCTCTGCAGGGCTGCTCTCAAGGACCGCTCCTTCCAGTCTGTATGGATGCCTGAGATTCCTCCAGCCCAAATGCAAAACTCTGTACTTTGCTGTGCTGAACCTCATCAGGTTCACCCTGCCCACCTTTATAGCTTGTGGAGGTCCCTCTGCATGGCATCCCTTCCTTCCACTCAGCTTGGTGTTGTCAGCAAATTGCTGAGGGTGCACCCAATTCCACCATTGCTGTCACTGATGAAGATGCTGAAGAGCACCGGTCCCAACACAGAGCCCTGGGGGACGCCGCTCGTTACCGGCCTGCACCTGGACACAGAGCCGTTGATGACCACTCTCTGTCTGCGGCCTTTTATCCAATTCCTTATCCATCAGGTGGTCCAGCCATCAAATCCACACCCCTCCAATTTGGAGATAAGGATGTGGTGAGGGACCATGTCAAAGGCCTTGCTCAAGTCCAGCTAAATGACATCGGTTGCCTTTCCCTTGTCCACCACTGCTGTCACTCCATCACAGAAGGCCACCAGATTGGTCAAGCATGATCTTCCCCTGGTGAAGCCGTGCTGGCTATCTTGGATCACACGCTCATTCCTCATGTGATCGAGCATGTCATCCAGGAGGATCTGTTCCATGATCTTCCTAGGCACAGAGGTGAGACTCACTGGCCTGTAGTTCCCCGGGTCCTCCTTGCTCCATTTCTTGTAAATGGGAGTGACGTGACCCTTCCTGCAGTCATCCAGGTCCTCACCTGACAACCGCGACTTTTCAGATATGATGGAGAGCGGCTCAGGAAACACCTCAGCCAGCTCCTTCAGAGCCCTGGGATGCAGCCATTCAGCCCATAGACTTGTACACATTCAGTCTCATCAGGGGGTCTTGGACTTCCTCTGCCCTCACAGTAGGGAGGGATTTACCACCCTGGTCCCCACCTGGAGATTTAGGGATGCAGGGCTCAGGGACATGAGAAATACTGTAATCCTGGCCACCAGTGAAGACTGAAGCAAAGAACTCATTCAGTACAGTTTACTCTGTGGCCATATTCCTCCTTAAAGGGAAATGTTCTGTTTGAGATGTATTCTGATGTACAGGAACAGTATGCTACAGAACACTTTGTGATGTCCTTTTTGTCTGAGAAGACTTTCCACCTCAGTCAGGAGCTGCAGTCCATCTGGGATCTCAAGCCTCTCCTTTCTGTATTGCAGCAGTTCTTCTGTCTGGAGAGCAGAGCAGGGTATTTGGTTTTTTTCAACTGGTATTTGGTTGTTGTTTCGCTAAGTTATTTCTACAGCATGCAAAACTGAAACGTTTTGGTGAAATCTCAGTAAGTGAAGGTGGTCCTGCACTGGGATGGGAGGAATTTAGTTACCTGTCCTTACTCCTATGAACATGTGGAGAAGAGTTCTCTGAGTGTGCAGAGCACAGGCACACTTTCTTCAGCCCTCTAGGAATGTGGCTTCTACCTGCTGCTGTTGTTGATGCCTTTTCTCTCTTGTTATTTCAGGGTCACAGCAACCTGGAGTGCCATATTACACAGACCCAGGCGGACCTGTGATGAATCCCATGGCGATGGCTTTCCATGTCCAGCCCAATTCCCCCCAAGGAAACCCGGTTTACCCTCCTCCACCTTCCTACTGCAACACACCACCTCCTCCATATGAGCAGGTGGTGAAATCCTCCACATGAGGACTTTGTGGCTCTGACCTGACTCTGGGAGAAGAAGGTGCCATTGCAAAACAACCAGGATGGTGGGCATCTGCCCCTTTGAACATTTGCTAGCTTTCCATGTCCTCTCTCCCTTCCTATCTTGCACCTTTCCTCATTAAATTTCCTTGCAAAGGGGTGATTTTTTTGCAGTAGAAGTGGATTTTTTCTTTGTCTTTAAAATGAAATAAGTTGTCTTTGTAATGCTTTTAATGGAAATCTATATTTAAAACCTGTATGTCTTTCTCTTTATTTATTGTTTGTTTGACGCACAGTTGTAATTACATTGTGGCAGACAACCGGTAGCAGTTCCTTGTGCCACCCCAGATTGATGTGCATTCTCCTAAAATGGAGGAAATGTCTTCACTTAGGGAAAATTACAGAGAAAGAGGGTAAAAATAGAAAAGGTCTTTTACCAGAAATGGTAGCCCTATCTTTTTTGCTTACGGTTTTCTTGTAAAACTCAGTTCTGATGCACACCACAGAGGCTCTGTGATAGAAGTCGCTGAGTGGCTGGGACACCGATGTTCACTGGATCATGGAAGAAGCTTTGCCAAGTGCCCCTAGGAATGGGGATTCAGTGCTTTAAATGGTGCACTTGAAAGTGGAGGACCGTGAGCTGAGTGTTTCTTGGCCAGAAGCTGGACTCTGCCTATGTGAGCTTCATCCTGGCTACGCTTGCTTTGCCAGCAGTGAGATTGAATGAAACGGATGATGACCTAAATATCAGTGGTGAGAGGCAAGTGCTATAATCTCAGAATGACTTGTGCTCGTGCCTCTAGACTAAATGGTTAGAAATACTGAAATACATAGAGTTTTCTTCATTAAATTAGAGAGCAGCTACACTAAGAGGGAGTGGGAGCACATTTCCAAGTTTGCTCCCTTTGAAATTGATGGTAATTTTGTCACTGATAAATAATACTTTTGATTACGGTCTTGCTGCTGCCACAAAGAGTACAAAGTAGAGCTGTCGCCTCTGGGTGACACATCTGTGAAATGCTCTCCTCTCTAGGACAAATAGATAACTCTTTGGAACTTGTGCTTAAGAAATTCCTTAATCTGATGTGCAAAAAAAAAAAAGTGTGAGGAAAAAAGAAAAGAGATGTCCTCTAAATTTGGTCGAGGTCTTATCACCAGTATGAAAGTATTCAAGTATTCACGTTTTTCAAAGCTGGGTTGGTGGACTAGAGGATGGGCTTTCTTGGTATTTCTACAGTCTCAGGCTTTTATTGCTTGTAAAACTTGGACAGGTTTTCTTTTTTTTTTTTTTTTTTTTTTTTTTTTCATAGAATCACAAAATGGTTTGAATTGGAAGGGAGCTTAAAGACAACCCACTTCCATCCTCTCTGCTGTGGGCAGGGTTGCCAGCCACTAGATTAGGTTGCCCAAGATCTCATCCAACCTGGCCTTGAACCTCCAGGGATGGTGTACTCACAACATCTCCAGGCAACCGGTTCTAGTGCCTCACCACTCTCCGAGTAAAAAACTTCTTCCTAACATCAAACCGAAATTTCCCCCCTTTTAGTTCAAAACCACTTGTCCAGTCACAATGGCTCATGTAAAAAGTCAATCTCTCTCCCTCCTGCATATAAGCTCCCTTTCGTTACTGGAAGGCTGCAGTGAGATCTCCTCAGAGCCTTCTCCAGACTGAACAAACTGAGCTCCCTCAGCCTTTCTTCGTAGGAGAGGATTCTTTGTAGAAGATGCAGATATGGTTTAGTAGCTTGTGGTAATAATGGTGATGGAAGGACGCTTGGACTAGATGATCTTGTAGGTCCTTTCCAACCTTGTGATTCTATGATTCTGTGATTTTATTAAAGTAAGTTTGGATGGTGCTGTACCTCTGATCATCTTCTTCGCTCTTTACTGAGGCGTTTGTTTGAAGTTCTTTTTGTTAATGAGTGGAGTTAAAATTGTGATCTCCTGTGCACAAAGGAGGACAGAGCCAATGTTCATTCTTCACAGCTGTGAAATTCTTTGTGGCAGGCAGCTTTATACACTCGTTTTTCTGTGGCATTCTCTGGTTTCTTCTCCCTCTGCCAACAGAGGCTGGGTGGCAGGTGTGTTGCTTTGGCCCTTGTGGGAGGGTCCTAGTCCCTGTTGGCAGGAAAACCTCCAGTGAAACATCTCCCAGAGAATAGGTGTCGCTGGTAGTTAACTCATTACACCTGGCATGTTGTGCTGGTGTGGGAAGCGCTTCAAGTGAGGAGAGCCCTGGGTGTGCTGAAGGCTGAGCAGGGAGTATGCCCATCCTGAGGCTTGTTGGTGAAGTCTGGACTGCTGTAGCAGTCTGCCTCAGTGAAGTACTGCAAAGGATTTGAATGGTGGCTGGGCTCTGCTAGCCTTCCTCCTGTGGGACTGCACCAGGGCATAAGCAGTGGCAAGAGCTCGTGCCTCCAGGTACGCAGTCACCACATTTCCTCCTGAAGGATGAGCAAACACAATTTCTTAGACATGGCCACAGGCCTGGTCTCATTTTTGGTACTGTTTTCATTTGAGTTTCCAGGTTGCTGGCTCGTGCTCTGCATCACCTGGACAATCCCTGCTTGTTGGTGTTATTTTTAACTTCCATGAGTTAACTGGTAGGAGCCTCCACATCACATAGCAGAAGTGCTTCCTGTAGAACCACAGCACATCAGTGTTGAGCTGTGAAGCTCTGTTACTTGGAGTATGGAGGGAGCAATGCCACAAACTTGCTCATCTTGCTCATCAGTGCTGCTTGACTGGAGAAGTGGGTTGTGTTGCATGTAGGTGCTGCTCCCAGGATGGGAGTTAGCACATTTCTTGAGTATCATCCCAGTCATTTCTTGGTCCAATCTTTATCCAAAGATAGGTGTGCAGGCAGCTTGAGCTCTGTTTTGGGTTGCTAAATGCACCACCTCATGGCACTAAGAGCTGACTTTGGACAGGAACACACGAGGCCCCTAGCTCAGCCTGTGCTCACCCTGCACCGTGCCATTTTGCTGCAGTTGTGACCTCCGCTTTCTGCTGACATAAATACACCTGCAAGTTTTCAAATGGAATGTATAGAGTTACAATCAGATACTCCACTCACTGATCTGATTGTGTCTCTTTTCCAGACCTTCATAAACCCTCTCGGACAAGAAAGAAACAACCTCTGCTTCAAGTCATGTTTTATTAATATAATTGCTTTTGGCAGTACATACATTTCTTAGCAATTTTTCCTAAGAATGAAGCACGGGGAAAGTAAAATTTCATCAAAAATCTCTGATGAACACCTTGAGAACTCACTAAGAGTGGCAGCCACTGCCACTGAACCAGACAGTGCATTAGTTTCACAACAAGGTCGGACGTCCTGCTGGTTTTATGGCTTTGTTGCTCTCTCTTTTTAATGTTTTAGCAAACAAACAAAAAGCTTGCTTGGTATTTGCTTGGTATAGCCTTGGGCTAGACCATCTTACACGACCGTGCATTGCTGCTGATGAGCTTCCCACCAGCAGGTGTGATGCTGTGAAACTTCCCCTCAGCCGCCTCTGCTGGACTGAACCAGCCCAGCTCCTTCCTTCTCCCTTACACGCTGTTATCCTGGCAGCTCTTTGGATCCACACTAGTTTATCAGCAACCATTCTGAAATGAGAGGCCCCAAATTTGGACACAGAAATCCAGGGGCAGACTCACCAGCACCAATGGTATGGTCTGCCTTATTCATGAGGTGAGCATGGTGCTGGCTCTCATTTAGTATGGCATCCACTGTAACGCCTGGGTTTTCAGTAGATTTTTTACTCGTCAGACCTCTGCCTGTACCCCCTGTAACCATGAGTGGTATTCTATTTTTTTATCCCTCTCCAACCCAGGTGTTGTCAGTTGGGCCCTGCAAGAGCCCAAGTGGGAAAAAGAAACAGTGAATTGCCTAACATCAGATTGTACCTAGTTCTCTACAAAGAGTTAGTGCAACAAGAGGATGTTATGAACACATCAGATACACACCATACTTACGTACATTATACTAGTGTTCTAAAACTACTTCATCCTCTCCCAGAACACGAACATTCTGAGGGAAGAAGAGGCCATGGGAGCCTGATCCTGCAGCTCTTTTTTTTTTTTTTTTTGCAGTAAGTTCTATGAAAGAAAAAGTGTAAAGGCTGGAATCCCACAGATTCCAGATGAACCTTTCCTTTATTCCCATCTTTTTCCTTACAGTATGCCCAGGTAGTTCCAGACACACATCCTGCACATTAGCAGCTTGCTAGTGTTACTCAGAATCCAGCTTAATTTCCTGCTGACATTCACAAGTCTTCAAAATGTAGAAAGACATTCTTTCGGAATCCTGCTACTGTCTGTTAAAATATATTCTTAAAAGGAAAATATGTGAAATGCTAATCTACCTTTTTTTTTTTTCCAAAGAGATTATGTGAAGTTTCTTAATTACATTCTGCATGTCCGAAACTAAACTTCCAGTAGCAGGTAGCATTATTACTTAATAGAAAAAGAGCAGGATCAAAGGACTTTTACTGAGAAAAATCAGCTAACGGCTGTATAAGGATCAAGGTTTTACAGATGCAATAGTATATATATCTTGGAAGAAGTGTTCCTAACAGTTCTTCTTTAATGAAACTGGTAACCTGTTTCCTTTAACTACTTTGGTTATAAATCAAGCCAAAACACTCGTATAAGAAAAAATACATTTTAAATGGGAAAGAAACATATGTTGCTGAAGTTAAAAGGAAAAAGGGAGGAGGAGAGGAAGAGAAGGAAAATCCTGAAGAAGCCTGCAGGGAGACCTCACTGTGGCCTTTCAATATTTAAAAGCTTATAAACAGGAGGAGAAATAAACCTTCCACACTAGTAGAAGTGATGAGGCCAGAGGAAATGGTTTTACACTAAAAGAAGGGAGATTTATGTTAGATGTCAGGGGAAATGGTTCACTAAGAGGGTGGTGATGTGCAGGAATAGGCTGCCCAAAGGAATTGTGGATGTCCCCTCCCTGGAGGCGTTGAAGGCCCAGTTGGTTCTAGTGTCTGATTTGGTGGTTGGCACCCCGTCCGGAGCACAGGGGTTGGAACTGTATGGATGCTTTCAACCTAAAACGTTCTGTAATTCTATGAAAACAGAGTAGAAATCTTAACTTCTTCCTCTTTAAATAGCTTTGAATTTATTTTTCTAACAGCACCAATGATAAATGAAGAAATTATAAATAATCTCTTTAAAATACTAAACAATTTAGTGGAGCAGAACCTCTGAAAAAAGATAGGGGACATTTTTACATCTCTTTGGAATAACGGAATTTTTGGAAGTCAAACAAAAAAATTCTTAGAACCTGGAATGTGGTATTCATTTTCCTGACACGTCTCTCTTACGATTAGGTGATAATAAAAGCTTGAGGAAAGAGCATCACAGGGACTTCCGAACTGAAATGTTACATATGGTTTATAGAACTGGTGAGCAGCGCTAAGTACTTCTTTTTACTTTCACATTTACATCTGTGGAGGAGCAGCAGTGGTTGAACACAGGTCACTGATGCTCCTGGCAAACTGCAGCTGCTCTACTGGGTGCAGACAGAACTCCTGCCCCTGTAAATAACGTGAAACAAATAGGAAAATGCCAATGCAATGCCACTAGGAGAAAGTGGCTGCTTTGTTGAGCACCGCACCAGCACAGGGCTCAGGCAGTGCTGCTCAGCCATAGCCTGTGCTGCAGCAGGCAGCCCTCCTGCTTCTGCCCTCACACACCTCAGTTCTTCCTGCCTGAAAACAGCACTTTGAACCCATGACTCGCTGCATTAGGAAGTCCCACCACATTTACCTGGCAACAGCTGCCATAAGATGGATGAAAGTGTTTTTAGATTGTCTTCAGGTTTGTACCTAGAGCCTATTAAATAAGGAGGGGGAGGAAGCAGCAGTAGCTGCTCTCGGTAGCAGAGGGTCGTGAATTGGCTTTGTGAAAGTAGAAATACTTGCAGAATACTTAGTTTAATTCTGTTAAGTCCTTGCTAAGGGAAAATGTCAAGCTTTCTTAAAGCTGTCAGCAAGACAGATATTTCATATATTTGTTCTTAAAAACCACCCAGTCCTAAATACAGTTCGAGCTGCAAACTGACCAAGAGGACCTGACCAAAGGGAAAAGCTCAGTAAAACTGAGTAAAGAAGAAGAAAAAAGTGAAGGTTAAGAAGAGATCTGCCCATACTTCGGCCACTGTTTCATCCTGCAGGACTCTGAAATTGGAAGCAGCTCAGCAATCTGAGCAGAGAACCGCTCCCAGTGACCACTGTGGAAGGGAAGGAAATCATACAACACACAAAAGAACTGCACACAGATTACCACCACATAACTTGATCTTTACTAATAAAGCCAAAGAACAACACATCAGCATTTTTTCCTCTTTTTTCTGCCCAAAGAACATCTCCATTTTTAACACTACGGCTTTTTGCAACAGATGGACGACTACACATGGACAAAGCAAAACAGGGAATATTTAGCGATTTCCCACATTGTAGTTCAATGAGATTTCTGAAAATGGTGTCTTGTTAAAATGTATTTTTTCCACCCCTTCCCACAATACACTTTGTAACAGCTGCCTGGATATCACACAGTGTAACATACAAAAGGAGGAGCTGCAGTGAGAGCCATGTGAGGAAGACAAAGCACAGACACTCGCAGACCTTCTGTGATATACCACATTTCCAGCCTTGCTCAATTCCAAGATCATTCTGCAGAGAACCTGGTGCTGGGCCTAACCCCACAGCAGAGCTGCAGTGCAGGAGCACACAGAGGACGTGCTCACTCCATTGACTGTGGCAATCATGCACCTCTGGTCTCTACTCACTGTTAAGCAGTTCATGCGTGTGCACCCACATTTTTTAAACAAGCCAGTAATTTCAATTCTCCCTGAATACCAGCCAGCCAAAATCACCATATTCCACAGGTGCCATCCCAAGCAGAGCAGCCAAGAAGGCTCCCAACAAATGAATGAAAAAGCCTTTCCCTGTCGCCCCCAGCTTGTTGGTCATGAAAGACAGGCCTGGATCTGCCAGGAAGGTGGGTGGCTTCTGTGCTGCGTTTGCAGGAGCTCCTGCAGACCTGGCAGAGGAATGCATCCCACCCATTAGCCCACCTCATGCACTTTACAGGCGTAGAGGACACGAAGGAGAAGGAAGGGGTGGGAATGGATGTGAAACAGAGGATCAGGTAGTGTTTTTCTTCTTTTTTTTTTTTTTTTTTAACCTCCACGTCTTCTTTTGCTAGGCTTTCTGTCAGGCTTCACTGTGAGCTAGTTTTCTCCCTGGATTACAGGCAGTAAACCATACAATGACAGAAAAAATACAGAGTTCTACTTCAGCATGAACGCTGCAGCAAAGCATTTCACTTGAGCTGGTACATTCTGCACACTGCCTCCTGCGAGCAGCTCCCCATCCCTCACTGACCCCACTGCTTTCCGCCTCTTTGACCAGGGTCACTTCACCACAGCTGTTTGCCACGCAGTACCCTCCTCCCTGCTGCTTTTCAGAATCTTCCCTCTTGCCTGGCTGCACAGTTGCATCTGGGCCCAGTGCCCCGAGCAGATCTACTCTCAGAGAAGCGTAAAAGTCTCTCTCACTGCTCCCAGTCTTAACTGACAAATCAGCAGACATTAAGCTCTCTCAGCACTGGCACTGCTGCTATTGCCTAGCAGAACTGAATCCAGAAAACATTAGCACCCCAATGGATTTGGCAACAGACAGGTCAATGTTCAGGGAAGCCTCTTGCTGCCTGTTTTACGCAGGTACAGGCATGCATTTCCAAGTCTGACCACAAACGCTGAGGATTCAGCAGTTGCCCATGGTTGCAGATATCCCAATGGGCACCTGAAAGGTCAGAGTCCCAGCCACCTGTCACACTTTCACCTGATGTAAGGTACTGGTTAAAATAAGCACCTGAGATGGCAGAACACAACAAGGCCTGTGAGGAAGGTGAGGATGACAACAGAATTTGAGCAAATGAGAGAATGCCACTCTTACCCTTCTCAAATAGCATGCATACTTCTTTATCTGGAAAACAGGAATACGTTGTAGATGTACCTACTTAAGAGTATGTTCCACTTCTCCCAGACAAACAACCCTGTATGAGCACACAGAGGCAGAACTTACACTTTGACAGCTGAGAGAAGACTCAATACTCCACAACTCCACCGCACAGCAGGGGGAAGCAAAGCACTAACAACTCAGTCAAAAACTAAGGAGAAAATGCTTTTTCTGTCTTGATTTTAAGACAAAATATTACAGCTCTTAGCAATGGCATATATATTGCTTACTGATCTTCTGCAGCCTCCACAAGCAGCTGGTATTTATCACTTCTGTCACACAGCATGGGATAAATGCAATGGGGTAAGGAGAGGGAGGGAAGGGCCTGGAACAATCCACCTTCTTGAGTCAGTAGTAATAGTCATCCTGATTTTCCAGCATGAGATACAGTGCTGACTTCAACTGTATGCTATGTGCTGTTGAAGAGAGATTTACTACAAATCCATGAACCACAGTGGAAAAGCGTAGTTACACTGTCCCTCTTGTTGGAAACAGGAGGCTTCTCTCTCTCTCTCTCTCTCTCTCTCTTTCTTTCTCTCTCAAAAAAAAAAAAGCTCCTAAAACAGCAAAAGAAAAGTCAGGCCACAGGCCACATCTAACCTGATACACTCCTGAAAACTGAGAAGGCCTCATACCAATTCATCAGGCAAGGCTGATCTCCATGACCTAGGGACTGTAGAGGAGAAAAATGTAGAAAGCAATGAAGAAAAGCATGTTTTCCATCTCTTTTTGAAGTTGTCAGCTCACTAGTGAAGCTGAGTACTCGCTTACAGTGAACTCTCTGGCATAAAGTGGAGCTCTCAGGCTAACCACACTGCAGAAAGCAACACTGTTGTTACAGGTCATGCATGAAGGTACAGGACAGAGCTTCACACAGAGAACAGCTCTTTGCTAACAACAACAGACTCGAATCAACAGACAACACCAATAAACATGCAGGTCATGTCAAAGACCTGAAGAAGACAAATACAATGAAAGAGAGAAAGTTCAAATTTGACTTCTCTCGTTCTGCATGTGAAGGTGTCACTTTAACAGAACTTAAATGTAGCTTCTCTCAATTCATGCTCTAAGGACTTCATGTCCCTTGGGGCAGGAGAAGTGAGAAACGGTTTATCCATCAATCAGCTTAGGGTTATGTTGGCTCTATATCAGAGGCACTAAACAGTCTCATCTCTTTTGGCATGTGTTTACTTTCCAAAGAACCCTTTAGCTGTCCTGTTCCATTTTGTCTTCTCTCCTCTGAGGTCCAAGTTCAAACGCTGGAAACCGGGAAGTTTCTGGTACTGAAATATCTGAGAGGAAGTGAATAGCTCCAGCCATACCTACAAAGCAAGGAGACAGATTTTTTGCATCTTGGGACATCGAAATATCACTGTTGACAGCAAAAGCAATCTAGCACCTCGCTAAATCTTTTTTGAGTAAACATACAACTTCTAGAAAGGCAAGTTTATTGTATCTGCCTAGGAAACTAACTTCCGCTTGAAAAGCTCAAAGGCAGAAACAGACTTATCTCTGCTACTGTTCTTAGCAGCACAATCTCAGTGCTACTTCAGTTAAGAAAAAGTAAATCCCAGTTTGGACCATCTCTCACATTTTGAGCAACTCTCATTGATCACTTCCTGAGTCCAAAAGCAAAGGTGCAATTTTATTGCTCCCGTGATACACCCCTTCATTCTTTGTTCATGAAGGTGGCAGCAGGAAAATTAGTATTTTTTTTTCCTAAAATTTGACACAAGGAGGTCTTTAAAAAAAAATCACATTAAAAAAATGCAATAAAATGTGCATCAACACTGAAGCAGAAATCATCCTGACTACTGTTGGCATTGCTCCACATCAAGTATCAAAGCTCTTTTACTACATACTGTCTGTCTGCCTCTTCCTTCTACAAATGCCTACAAGGGATCCCCCAGGGATAAGAACGCTGTCCTTTCTTCCCCATAAACATCGACACAATAACTCTGTATTTGTAAGAGATGCATACAACTACTGCTCTCTTGTGTTTATGCCTGGGGTTGGTTTACTTGTAAAATAAACCTGCTTTGTGTGCTGTAATTTCACTTACTTGTGATAGGTGGCACATTAGGCTCACTGCTCTCAGAACAGCAGCACTGTTTTATATCCTACTTTATCTGTGATTTCTTGCTACTGTGTTTTAAAACTTAGCGATGAGATACAGTGTAGAAAAAAAGTTACAAATAAAGAAAACATATAAAGCTCTAGGAAAATATTTCCGAACTCCCAAGCATGTCCCAAAACTGCAAGGTAGCCCTTCTATCCTGTACAATACAATACTATTTGCAATACAACCACTTTACCTTCAAAAAGAGAATAAGGACGGTCAGGAATACGACATCCATGTGCACCATATTCCAAACACCATTCAGCAAACTGTGGGAAACATAAAATGTATTTATTGATTAATTTTGAATTTAAGATCGTTAAATGCAAGTTTGAAACCTGCATGGGAAGACATTTTCACAGGTACTAAATGTAAAATAGTGTAAGCAGAGACACAACACGGTACAAGACTAATTAATCCCACTTCATTCGTGACAAGGATGCAATTATTCTTTAAGACATGTATTTCCACAGTGGGAGTTTCAACTTTGCAACAACATAATTAGATGGGCTGTACTTAATTCCCAGTTTTTAAATAAACTGTGCAACAAACCAGTGAAGAAATACTGCAAGAACAGATACAAACAGTTTCTAAGTCAGAAATTTTCTAATATAACACCAGTTCTTATCTGTCTCAGTGCTCATCCAGTTCCTAAGGACTTAAAGAGCTGTTAACTGCATTTTTGTTTTCTTCCACTTCCATACACTGACTTAGAATACTAAATCTCCAACTGCCATTAATAGCTTTATTTATTTTCTCCCAAGTCTTAGGAAAAAAATCATCATAAATACAGTCATCAAGAAAGAGCTATTCAGACCTTGGAAGCTCTGTCCTGAATCTAAAAAAACCCAACAAACAAAACAAAAACCCAGAACCCCAACAAAACAAAGCATCATAGAACTACAGGGCTCCCCTGGTCAAGAAATGCAGAGCAACAGATACTGGCAGCACTGCACAGAGCTCCCTGAAAATATACAGCAGTGAATGACAGGAAGACACAGAAACTGTGCTGAGAGCCATGCATGCTCAGTAGTGTAGCTCACACTTCAGCAGTGGATGAGTCCACAAATACTGTCACATATTTACCATGGCAGTGTTAGGGGTTTATTGTGTTTTCTAGGATGTGTACAGGTGACCTCATGGCTGGTACATAGGTGAATATAAGATGACACAAATATCAACTTATTAAAGCTCTGCTGGTGGAGGACAGGCTGACAGTAGAAATGAAAGCAGTAGCTTTCAATGTGGCTCACCTATAAGAGCCCAAGATGCAACTCATCAAATCTCCCCATTGTACTACCTTTAAATAAACCTCTATTAAATAGCTATATATGCAATATGAAATTCAGTATCAGTAAATTAAGTAGAAAACGAAACAAAAAGCTCTTCTGAGATCAAGAAATAGGGGCAAAAAAAGCTTTCTTCTTTGAGAATTGCTAGCATAATCAGAGCTCATAGCAGTTGACAGCAGAAACTAGATTGGCAGAAAAATTCTGAGCATGTCTTTCTCTACAATTTGTATTAATGAAAAAAATCTAAATGAGCAGTTAAATAACTGCAATTCAGAGCTCTGAAAGCCCCAGACACTAGTCTGAAAACAAATAATTACAAAAGACTACAAACAGCATCGCTTGAGGAGCTGAGGATGACAGTAGAGCTCTCAAGGGAATAATTAGCGCCACATAACATTCATCTCTTATTGTTCAGGCAAGCTAATTTTCAGACATTTACACCACAGCAAAGTGGTGTAAAAAATTTAGGGTATTTTTTTCAGTCTACATATTAAGACATAAGTGTCCACATAAGCAGAGTTGAAATTGTCTAGTCAAGGCATTAGTTAAGAGGAATACGTGATGCTATGCTCTTGTCCCACTGAGTTAGCTTCAAAGGCAACAGTCAGTAACTTAGTTTGATCACTCTATTTACCACATAGAAATGAAAGGAAAATTACATGAAATGAAATGCAGGAAAAGGAACAGTAATTTTGTTGGGATGTAGAAAGCTCACCTTGCAAGCTCGGTAGAGGTACTTTTTGTCCTGAGTTAGGTTATAGAGAGACAAGAAGGAGTAGCCATTGCCAGCAGTACCATGGCAGATCCCGTAGCCTTTTCTCAATAAACCTCTTTGCCAGATGACATCACTACACTCCATAGCATCTTTCAAGTACTTGTCCTCTTTAAAAGTCTGTGGAACAAAAACAAACATATAAATAGCACTATTAACAAAAACAAAAGGATGATGCACCTGGAAAATGCTTTGCTGTAGGGGTGGAGTTTTTCATATACAGTTTATTTTTGAATTTTAAGACTCCATCCATCACAGACTTGCCTTTCTTCTAAGTCGCTTCTTTTTTCCTGCATGGAAAAAGGAAAGTGTTAATGCTTTCGTATCTGAAATGAGGATCCCAAAGAAAAAACTCACAAGTTCATGGCCATTGGTTCCACAGGCTGAAATCAATTTGAAGGGTACATGATCCTCTTATACTCCCCTCCCCCAGTCCCAAATCACTACATTATCTGATTTGAAGTAGAGAAACATAATTCTTGTCTCCAAGAAATGCAACTACACTGGGCATCAAATTTGGTCCTGAATAGCTAGGTTCTCATGCTTCTGAGTAATTCTCACTGGTTATTCACTGCCTGCTTTCAACTCCATACCAAAAAATGCAAGAGTATCACTTTGCAAAGAACAGGGCTCTCTTCTCTATCTCAAGCAGAAGTAGAAGCACTCCATTACCTTGGTTAGTACCTGCATGAATCAAGAGGTAAAGCCAATTTGGGCAAAGGATCAGATTTACAAAATATACTGAAGTGCATTTCTTTGTTCAGCAGCTTAGCTGAACAGCACCACAGACTTCCATCTACATAACACTCTCTTCTCCTGTGCCTGAGTCACACAATAGATTAACAAGACAAAGAAAGAAGAATAATTTATACACTGCTGCAGATGTTTTTTTGCAGATGGCATCCTCTGCAAAGATGCTATTTATTAATGTAAGATCTTGAATGTTAAGTGTTTCTAGTAAATCCATAACCTTGATAAAGAAGATCTCCCTTTCTGATCAGGTCTGTCAGCTACTCAGTAGTAACATTTCAAATGAAGGTCTGGCAAAAGCATTTGATTTCCAGGATTAATGCTGCTGTCTGTTATCAGAAGTCCCAGTGCTTGATGTGAAAGCACAGCCAGCACAACATACTCCAATTTTTCTTAATCTTTCAAAGAGCAGATAAAAGAGAAAAAGCATCACTTTGTCACAGAAAAAGAGGACAAAGGAAAACTGCTAAGCAGAACTTGGTCCTATTCCTCTCTCATCTTGGAAAGGTCTGCAGTGATAAGCCAGCCTCCTACTACAGTCCAGAGCAAAAGCAAATGTGACTGCTGCTGCATTTAGCAGTGCTGTAAGAGTTCACATTTCACAGGTAGCAGCGGAAGTAATTATTCCATAAACAAAACCTGCTTTTTATCAGCTTACCCAAAAGCCAACCAAGGAATCTGCCAAAGAGGGCTGTCAAATGCAGAAATAAATTTGCATAAATTTAATTGAATGGCACACTTTCAAAAGTCATGCAGATCAGAAGCGCACAACACAAGCAAGATAGCCAATCTAGTTAAGGATGGAAAGGAGCAAGTAGGAGACTCATGATACCTAGGGAGTTATATTTATGCCCTAGAATGGGCCTGGCATCTTTGTTCTGACATTAAGTTCTGAAGTACCGTCACAAAATAATGGAGTAATTCAGAAAGACATTCTTTAGCAAAACACATGAACCTACATTTTTAAAAACCAACATAATTCTTAAAATGCTTGGGATGAAGATTAAAATAACTTAGGCCAGAACTGCTCAGAACCAGGATTCTGATATCAAGCTGCTGAACTACGTTGGCACTTTTTCAAGAAAGCCTCAAGTCTATTAACAACTCACATCCCAAGAAGCAATTTTATTTATTACTTCTTTACAAACATTCGTACATAGAATTTTGAGATATTTAGGTGCCTAGCCCAGGGTTCTCATTTGAAAGCCTAGATCCAGAAAGACTTAAAACACAAGGCTTAGAATCCAACAGGCCTACGTACAGGTCCTTCTGAAAAAAAAAAAAAAAAAAGGAAAAAAAAGGGTTTATACAAACACAGAATGATTCACCTTATAAGCTTGCATGAGCATGTGGATGACTCCAGGGGCACCATGGCACCAGTGAACCAATCTGTCAGTCTCATTGCTCAATGACGATGGGTAATTCCCAGATCTGAATTTTTTATGGCGCACATAGTCAATGCTTGGCTTCACCAACTCTGTCAAGGTCTCCTGATCCACATTTGCAATTGGCTAAAGACAACACAGAAAAAAAAACCAAAATCAAAGTAGTAATAAATTGGGTATCAACAATTATGTGCCCTATTTTCCATTACTCTACATATACGCCCTTGATCCAAAATCTTTTGTCACTTCAGGCAGATTTAATTAGTGTCTGTTCACAATATCCTTACAAAGAGAGTGTTACAACAAACATAAAGAAACTGGGACACCAAGTTGTTACCTGTCTTACTTGAGGTGACACAGAAAGACTACAGAAGAACTGAGAACAGAACGCAAGATGCTTCTATTTATATCTTATTACTGAAAGAGTGCTCACAGGAAGAAGACAGTTTTATAGATTAGTTGCTTATAATGCTTACTTAAAACACAGTGGGTTATCCATTTTAAAAATAACTAACGTGGACAAACCTGACAAACATTTATTAAGGTTGAAGTTTTCCATTGCAAACAGAACTCCATGAAGCTATGGATTATAAAACTGCATCTCTAATGTCAGAAGCAACAGCTACTTCTCAAAGCAATTAAGTATCTTTTTTCTACGCATTCATCCTTAGGAAAGAAGGATTCAGAATAATCTATTTCTTTCATTTAGTTTACATCCTTCCCAAAAGGCAAATGTATCCATCAAACTGCACTTCCTCAGTGTCTGTTGGTCTGTAGCTGTTCTTAGTTGATATTCCTTCCTCTACCGGCCCACTTCACAGTATTTTCATAACAAAGCTCTCTATTTTTACACAGCCTGGATAATTTAATGAGTTCTAGCAACTGGTGGAACAACTGTGGGAGTCTACAGAAGCTAATAACTGGTCTATTTTGGTTATAAATGACTTGTCTTTGCTGATTATGTCATATAATTTTACTGTTTCCTACCAGCACATTCGCATTCAAGGGCTAAGAATGCTGCTATCATTCACAGTCCTACAGCTACATGACTTTAAGTATCTATATTCTTAGTAACCTGAAATAATCTCTACTTAACCTCAGTTAGGAAAGCTATGCTGGACTCCTGCCCACCATATCACTAGAGCAAATTCCTCTTCTGTCCTTTTCTGAGTGCAAGGACACCTGAATATAGATCAGCTACTCATTAAGAACACCGTGGAGTTAATAAGCCCAGAGTATGGAAGGTCTCATAAAATCTTTGTTTCAGGATTCTGATTTCATATTGGAATCCTGCAGCAAAAGGTAAGACAGGCACCAGCAATAAGTGCTATTCAGTTTTGAGCTGTTCAAGGCAAGCACAGAGCAGGGTTTAAGTGAGCTTATGACTGTCACAAGAACAGAATTCTTTACATACCTTCTCACCTTATGCTTCTACGAAGATCTATGCACAAGCAAGTCCCTTTCTCCTGAACTGCTGAGGTTCCTGGCACCTAACTGCCAATAGCAAAAAAGTAACCTACTGATATGTGTCCTCATTATCTAGCCAAGAGGACAGATACTCAAATAGATATTTTTGTCTCAGCATCAGTGAAGGAGCTGGAGATTTCCCAGCTATAGAATCACCTCCTCTGCCTCCTGGATTACTTACCACTGCTGAGCCCTTACGCTCACTGTAGTTGTCTATAAGAAGATCCTAGACACATTCCCTCACAAAGATATTACACAGAAGCAGTAATTGGTAGTCTTTGTATCTCAGGTGCTAATTTGGATGCTTTCTCTGTTACCAAACAACCACCCAGCAAATCATATAATGACTTTTTTGCTGAATATACAGACAAATTTTCCTCACATGGAGTAGGAGGGATGGGGGGAAGGACGGACTTTGACACGTCATCTTCATCTGCAGCAGATGACTCAACTCTGTATGACTCACAATGTTTAATGTACAGTGAAAAGGCAGTAATCTAATGCTGCATAAACAATGGCTTTGTGGTAATTCTTAAAAACAGCAATTAGATGTAAAGGAAAAGACATTTATGATTTTACCATGTAGATAGAGTAGAACTTAAACAAGAACACACTGCATTTGTGGTATCAGACTTTGAATAGCAAATAAAGGACGGAGTCTTTAAAAAGACTTCTTTAAAGAAATGGATGTTTCTCAGAAAACCTAGTGAAAAAAAAGGGAAGTCAGGTAAGATGAGATAGCTGGAAAGGGTGAACCACCAAGAAACCATCAAGGACAGCAGGAAGTGAAGATAAGGACACAGTAAATTAGAGCATCCCGAGGCATCAGCAGATGTCCACTGTACAAAAGACCCCAGGCAGCAGAGCATCAGCCACTTCCACATCAAAGTCTGCTGCTTTAGCATGAACTACTGGTAGAAGTGGCGTGAGCTGATCTGAAGCAGGCGCAGAAAAGTCACAGCATCTTTTGCAAAAGAGGAATGGCTGAGCAGTAGCAACAGTTAATGCTACCTCAGTCACTTTTGCGAAGAGCATCTGTACAGATCTTTAGGCTGAGAGGTGAGGATGTACATTCCTTCCACTTGCCTGAAGGACAGTCATTTTCCATAAGCCGATCAGAAAATTACCATTTACGATGATGCATAGACAGGCAGCATCTTTCAAAACCAGAAAATTGTATGATACAGATTCTGCAGCTTTATGGCCAACTTCTGTAATGAAACATACAGGATCTACTTCCAGACTGTACAACAAAAGAACAGACATACAGGTCTGTCTTGAAAAACATAATACTATTTGAGGATATAAAAGCAGGGGGAAGAAGGGATTTAAGTACGATATACAGGTATACAAAAGAGAGGTATCTCAGTAAAACATGAAGAGAAGAGCAGGGGTCAGAAACACAATCAGGAACATCAGATTTTTGGGGGGCAGAGAGAGAAGAGAGGCAGAAAAGGAAGAGCATAAATTAATAAAAACATACTGAATATGTGATTAAGGACAATTTTCCTTAAACTTCAATACAGTAGGAAAAAAATAAGTCACAGAAGAAAAAAAGGACATGAAGGACAGGAGACAGTGATCACTCACTGAAAAATAGCAAAAACTGAAGAGTGATGGATGCTGAGCTAAATGAATATTTAGCTTGCCTAACTGCAAGTATCAGAAAAAGTAAACATGAGGATGAGTACCTGACTCTCTTTCTTGAGGATAGAAAATTTCAGAATGTTGATGCTCTCAACTGCAACCCACACACACTCACAAATACCTCGTGTACTCCGGGGCAAGGACATAGGTCTTGCCATGCAAGCACAACACAATGTTGACATCCTGGAGTAAACTGCAGAATAAATGAGTCCCCCAGACGGAGGTCTAACAGGAGCATTAGAGAAGCCTTGATGCTGAGAGGCAAGGCTTAATTCACACCAATGCAAGGATAGACGAGCCACAGTTTTCTTCTGCCACTGGGGCCTTTTTTAGTGCTGTTCTTTGCTGCAGGGTCTAACTCCTAATTCTGAATCCCTGACCTACCACAACACTGCACTGTGCATGCTTGAAACCTGAAATGGAGATCTTCTGATGCAAAACAAGACATCACTGGCGTTTCATCCCAGCCCACGGAAGACACTCTTACCTGCATTAGCATGTAATAGATCCCAGCCACGCCGTGGGCCGCTCCAACGTACTGCTTCCTGTGCCACTGATATAACAGAGGACAACGCTCTGTTTTACGTTCCTCCTTCGAGAAGTTTTTCCCTGATTCAATAATGGCATCTGTTACCTAAGAAAGAAAACACATCTCTTCCATCTCATTTGCTTTGATTCAGAGAGTTTTGTCGTGACTAGAATCACACTGAATATATGCCACAATAAACAGAATGACCATGATATTCCTTTGGACCTGACTATTGAGGTAAGAAGGAAGTTTCTGCCTCAGTGACAGAATCACTTAGATTTATAAGAGAAACTGAATCTTAAAAACTTCTCGTCAGTTTTTTCCAGGCCTGCCTTCTCTGGTTCTGGTATCTGAAGAAGACATGCACGTTCCCCACTGAATTCTCCATCATCACACTTCTTTCCTAAGGTTTTCCAGGTTTTCCATAACGATTTCTCACCCTCAACTGCTCCAAGCCCAGTTTCACAGCAGATCCATTTCCATAGCTACCTGCAGACCTGCCACGTTAGCTTCCGTTTCAATCCCAGCCAGGCAGCAGGGAAAGAGACTGAGTTTGTAGTTGCCTCCAGCCTCATGCTCCTAATCCCTTGAATTACATGAGGAATGATTCCAGTCCAATTGCACAAGTATTCTGTGCAGTGGAACTGCCAGGTCACAGCCTGAAGCAATGGCTGAGCATCAGGTGAGAAGGCAGGGCTAAAGGGGTGGAGCCTGGATCCACTCCTCCTCACCCTCATTTATGGGTTAACAGCTGAAGAAGTAGCATCTTTCAGATAGAGACCATACTTCTCTTGAGCAGTCACAGGTTGTTGGAAGGGGTGAGCCAATATTCCTTCTTTATTACCCATTAATGCTCTGTAGTACCTGTATCCCACTTGAAGTAACTGTCATCACCTTCTTCTGCCATACACTGTGGCATTGAGGAGAGAAAAAAAGTCCTACCTCTTTGATAATGGACTGCGGAACAGTGTCTGAAGCAATTTCTGTATTCAGGTAGAGCAAGGCATACAGGTAACCAGCTCTGCCATAAAGCAGCTCATCTGGAAGTTCAGCATCCATGCTTATGACTGTCCTTTGCAGCTGCAACAGCCTGCATCAGACAAGAACAGTAGGGTGAGATAAAGCATCTTCTCTAGACACTATACTGGCCTATACATTGCACAAACCATCAAAACAGAAGCAGCTACAGTACTTAAGTCCCATAACTTCCTTTCATCATCTCCTCAGCTGGCCGCCAGCTCTACACACCAGAGTAATACATATGTGCTGTCCCTGACAGACAGGCAACTTGGAGCCAGTGAGTATAGTGAAATAAGTGGCTTCCAGGCAGAGAGAAACACATATACAGGTAATGGGCTGGAAACCTACTCCAATCTAGAGCTAACACTGATTCCAAGAGAGACCAGGAACACCAACCTGGAGATGCTATCTGACAACTAATTTGCACTGAAGCAAAAAGATTCACAGATGCCAGTTACATCACTTCTGATCTCAGAGATCAATCAAAAGAAATGTCAGTTAAATTGTAAAAGTAGCTATAAATGAATGGGAAGAATGATGAAAACTCCTGGAACCTCTAGTAATTTCACCTGAGCAAGGACTCTTAATTATAGATGCTTCAGAGGGGAGAAAAAAAACACTCTGCACTCCCCTTCCCTAGATATGCAATTTTTCAAATGATTAATAATACAGTTTAGAAAGAGTGTTGCTATTATGCAGAAGTGTTTGGTTGCCTATAGTAGCAGAAAAACACCTTGGGCTGGGCACTGCAACTCTCACATGCTCCACTGAGCATTCCTGCTATTACTCTACCAGTCTGCTTTCAAACTGAGAAGCAGAGAAATTGTTATCCTTCCCATTCTTTCTCTCTCTGTTCTTATTTTTCACTAACTAAAACTAGCTATTAGATTAAACCATGGAGATAATCACATTTTAAATTTGGGGAGGGGAAAAAATAATCTGGATTAAGAAGAAGATCTATTCCCAGATATCCTTAATAGCAATTACTTGGCAGAAATGTTAGCATCATGCTGGAGCAAAAACACAGACCTCAGTGGTTTCTTCACACTGTCACTGCTTAATATCTGTGAAAAGCTACCCACAAAAAAAGAGCTTTCTGTTATTATTCCTTTCATGGAACTACTCTTTGGACTTGCAATTAAATTACTTTCTTTTAAATGCCCACTGTTAGGTTTTATTTTTCAAGTCATACTGTAGCTAGACAGCTTCAAGGTAAAAAGCTGTAAGTGCAATCATATATACACTTTGACATCTACAATGCAACTCTCACTGCTGATATCCTGAATAGATGTAGGTCACTCCAAAAGTAACACCTCCTATTGATTTCCATGTAACTACAACACATACCAAAAGCACAAAAAAACTGATAGAGTAAGTTCTCAACTACAAAACACTATTTTTCAACATTGTCACCACCACTAGCTATACATTTTTGCCAGTGATGAACAAGAGCCTGCATGCCATGCTTGTAAAAATCCTCACCAGCAGAGAAATCCACTGTTTCACAACTGTTTTGTTCTAGGAAAACACTGCCCTCATAGTTCATCGTTCATTGACCCAAACAAATGGAAGTCAGAAGGTGCCACATTCAGACTATGCAGTGGGTGGGTTGGACAGTCCAGTCAAGACTGGCAATACACTCCATTGTCTTCAAATTGGTATGGGGGCTGGTATTATAATGCTGCAAGACAAAAGCTATCTTCTCTGGCCTGACTGTAAAAGTCCAGCCTTTAGCTTAGTCAGCATTAAAATGTAGCAGTCAAGAGTTGATGGTCTGTCCAGGTTCCAGGGAGTCCAAAAGGATCGCCCCTTTTCTATCCTAAAAGACAAGATGCATCACTTTAGCCACTAAGGACTGCATCTTCAACTTTTTACTCTATGGGGAATTCATATGTCATCACCCCATGGAGTGACACTTTGATTCCAGCCTGTAATGGTGTCTACATAACTATGTAACTGTAGCTATGTCTTGTCATGATGCAATTCAAGAAACTGCCACTTTCAAGCTAGTAGTGGTTGAGTGGATCATGACAAACTTGCACAGGCTTTTCTTTCTGTTCCCGTGTGAGCATGTCATGTGGCAACAAAATGTAATGGAATACTGGCAGGAAGGTTCATCTTCTATTGCCATGCCACCAACATCTGCCTCTTATGTTGTGAGCCAACATAATAAAATAGAAGCTATTGCTTTCAGAGCATCCCTGGCATTTCTAAACAAAACAAACAAACAAAGGGGAGTTGGGGGGGGGGGGGGAAACGGAAGGATGTAAAGGAGCAAATTCTCTAACTAACCTCCTTCTCAGTCCTCTGAAAAGGAGTTCCCAAGCGCAGGTAAGATTAAAAGATTCACTGCTGATCTCATTTTGCTCTAGTCATACTTCATGCCTTACAGAAACACTGCCTTCCTAGCTGCATCTAAAATGACATGTCTAAGCTAACTATCAATGCTAAAAGCAAGGAACAAACCTTTCATTCACTTCAAAACTTAAATATTCATTCAGGAACAGTAACTGATACTATTCAAACTAGGATTCTAGATTACAAAAAGATTACAAAAAAATGGATTATATGCTCAAACATAAACCAGAGATGATGACATGAAGCTAGTATGCAAATTCTGATGGGGCAAGGCATGCTGCAAAACTGCTAACACGTGCTTTACAGAAAGCATCACATACTGCACAAGCACTACATTCTGTCAATGAAAGGTGTGCAACTTCTATTACTGTAACAAAAATGAAGATGTGCATGCACTACAGATATGTCCAGGACATCTTGTTCTTAGAGCAACTTAGAAGACTCAGTGAAAATAAAATACAAAATAAATACAAGTGTAAGCAAGATTTAATAATGCTAAAAGTCAATCCTGTATTCTACTGAAAATACATCAGTACAGAAAGTACAGAAAGTACCTCCAGGTTTTAATCTTGTCCTCCATGACTGAAATTGCTAATTTTACTGAACTCCACAAAAGAGCGTCATAGCCTTTCCCACCTTCTACCACTTACCTAGCAACACATTCCTTAGATTCACTTTCATTTTTCAGCATGTGATAAACTACTGCACCCACTGCCAGCGGCCCAGCATCACCACAGAGAAAAGTAACTCGTCTGCCATTCAGATTGCGAAGGATTCTCTTCACGTAATCTAGAGATCGCTGCAAATGGCTTTGGTTCTTTGTGACACGGTACAGTTGGAGATACAAGAGGGCAATGCCTGAAAAAAACACATGAGAAAGAGATTAATTAATTTTCCCTTCTGAATACATCATGTTACCATCTTTAGAGCCACTGAACAGTAAATCGAAGAGATATTTGGTCAGTTAAAGCACTTCAGCTAAGGGTCCTAGCTTTGCAATAGGAACACATCAGTCTGTCTTTATTACATTTCTATTTGGATCATGACAAACATCTAAATTTGTTAGACTGAAGCCCAACAGAACATCCACTATTAGCACAGAATTAAGACAATTCATGACTCAGGTACTAAAGCTTGGAGAAGAAATCACTTAAAACTCAAAATCTTAGGGTAACAAGTATACCTACAACCAAGCACACTCACTTTACAATACTCATCTGCTATAGGCAAAAAATGACCTATTTCCCATTTGATTTTTAAAAGGATATTTTAAGCAGTTCTTGGATTCAAGTTGCCAAGTTGTTTATAACGCCTGAATGAATTTCACAATGGCATGATAACACCTTAAGATTTAAGCTAGCTTGTAAAAGCCAGAAAGCAAACAAGTCCTAAGAGAATGCTGGAAGGTTAAATCAAGCTTTACTCCATTACAATGATTATATAGTTTTCATTTAAAACAAAACAAAACCCAACCTTAAATCTATATCATTGCAGCTTTTAACGAAGTGAAACAACTCTAAGCAGATGTTTCTTGGCGAACTAGAAGTATACATGCATAGAAGCAATAAATGTATCTTCCGACCATGCTGCAACTCAAACTCCTCTTTTTTGAGCAGGGAGGAGATTCTTCTGTGCCATGAATAAAGTGGAGCACAAACTAGACACACTTAATTCCATAGAGAGGCTTTTTGAGGAGTACAAGAATGGAATCATAAGAGCAGTGGTACATGCTCAGATGTTCTCTGGGTCAGCCTTGAAAAGGCATTTACAGATGACTCTGAGAAGGCTGCTACAGAGCTTGGTTAGGCCAACTCAGTGGCACAGGAGATTGTGGCCTATTTACTATCACCTTCATCAAAGCAATGGCAGGAAAACACTGCCTCTGAGGCTGTTGGCCTGACTGGCATTTCTACAATTCTTTCACAGATTGCACCAAATATGCAGATCAAGGCTGTGTTCGGAAATTAGCCATGAGGTCAAGATTATTCAACCCTTTCTTGTGCAAAATGCTCCAAGACATTTGCCACATACAAACAGTATTTGTTTTAGGATATAAGCACAATGGACTCTACCATGGGTTTTAATATTGGTATGTGACAATAAGCACTCCAAGATTTTGAGGATGCTTCCAAAGTACATGTTCAGCCAATATTCAGTACTGCTCACCTCCACTAAGATTTGCCAAGACTTGGTACATAGCAAGCAGGGCAGTTCTTTTCTTTTCTTTTACTTTCTGATTTTCACATTCAAGAAAATGTTGCAAGAAGCAAGCTTGGGGAGAAAGTATTTTCATTAAGTTTTTCAAAATCCAGACCATTTTAGTATTTTTATTGAGGCAATTCCACAGAAACCTTGCAAGAATTTTACAGCTTGAAGCAAATGTAATTAGCAATCCTTCTATATAACAGAAAAAAAAATTCTCATTAGAGTGCATTACTTGTTCAGCTAACGATGGTTGTGTTAGTTTTAGCTTATAACTAACTTTCAACATGCTCAGTAATGTCTGCTGTCAGTCATGGTGTTAGAATCACACAATTGCTGGGGTTCAAAGCTATCTCTCATCCAAGCCGCCTGGCTAAAGCAGGCTCCATACTGTAGGAACACAGGAAAGTGTTCAGGCAAGTGTTTGAACCCTTCTTTGTTTTTGGCTCAAAGTATGCTTTCTAAGGCATTTCTTGCAGTAAGACTGACTTATCTAGGAGATGAGAGGTGGATGTTGCTGTGTGGCAGTCAGCATCACTGTGTGGACAATTTTACATTTAAAAGCATTTCTTCGGAGCTGTTTGCCTTCAGAAGAGAGTGCTCAGGACTATTTACAGGTGGAAGACCTGGCCTGTGACCAAATAACTCCAGCTTGCTATGGGAGACTGGGGGATAATACCATTGTATGCTGTGAAGGCAAGATACAAGTGGGCACCTCCATACTCCCTCTTATCTGCTGGCAAGGCCCAGAAGATGGGAACAAAAGGAGTTCCTGCAGAGATCCAAAAGCCAGAAGCTGTCTCTCCAAAAGGAGCTGATTCAACCACTTTGGACTTATTTATAAGCTTGTACAGCAATTGGAAAGTTTCTCCATTGTCTCTGTCATCGCCATCATCGTCGTCAACTGAACAACAATGCCCAATGACCCACCTCTACTGAAGATCAACCTACAAGCAAAGCTGGAATCCATGGTGGTGACTATCTTCCTCTTGCTTCCTACAAAGACTCCTTGCTTTTATTTCCTATCTTTTCTATTGCCCATCTTCCCTTCCCCATCTCTCTAAATGACTAGGATTTGTAATAAACTGGTTGGGCTAACATTTGACCTGCTGTGTCTTAATCTCACTGTCAGCTATACATACATTAAAAGAACCTCCTTTTCCTCCTATAAATTGGAGCGAGACAGCAGGTTTTGAATATCTCCAGACAAGGAAACTCCACAACCTCTCTGAGCAGTTCCAATGCTCTGTTGCCCTCACAGTAAAAAAAATTTTTCCTCACGTTCAGGTGGAACTTCCTATGTCCCAGCTTGTGCATACTGCTCTTTGTCCTGCTGCTAGGCACCACTGGAAAGAGTCTGTCTAAATCATCTTGATTCCCCCCATTAGATACTTATAAGCATTTGTCAGATCCTTTCTCAGTCTTCCCTCCTCCAGGCTGAACAAGCCTCAGATCTCTCAGCCTTTCCTCAAAAGGGAGATGTTCCAGGCCCCATCTTTGCGGCCCTCTGCAGGTGACCCTTCAGTAGTTCCCTGTCTCGCTTGAACTGAGGAGCCCAGTTGTGGACTAAGTATCCTATATGAGGCTTCACTAACCTGGAGTAGAAGGGGATGATAAGCTCCCTCAACCTGCTGGCCATGATCTTTTTCATGTACCCAAGATATCATGGGCCTTCTTGGCTACTTGACATCTGCTGCACTCACTTACCAGCCAGTCTTAGACCTTGAAACATATCTATCGTTTACACATAAATTGTCTAAAACATCCCCACTCATCCACCCACAGTACTGTCTGTGCTGAAATATCAAGAAGAAAGTGAAGAAATTTTGCATTTCCACTGCCAAAATTAAGACTAAGCATGGGCAAAGCCTGGAAAGCTTTTTCAGGCTGCTTCCCCCTCTCTGACAGAGACAACAGAACAGATCTCCTCATGGCACACATCAAACATGCTATGCTAAAATCAGAAGAATGTCTAAAGCATAAGATAGAGCAGGAATACAATTTGCCATTGTAATTGCAAAGCAGCACTTTAGAGGCCAAGATGGAAAAGTGTTTTGGCAGCTTGAAGAGCAGTGGCTGTGTCAGGCTTGACATCTGCAGGCTCTGCCTAAAGGATCAGTAGGGTTCACTCATATTTTGACAGCATTAGTACTGCAAAGTAAAAGAACAGTGGTGTTTAGGGATAAACAGCACTTGCACACACATATTTCTCTTCATATAATTCACAATTTTGCAATCTTACTCCATTCCGCTCCTTCCCACATGCTCATTTTAACATTTTTGTACAGACAAAACAGCAGAGCCAAACTACCCTCCGGTGCAGCCTCAGCAAGTTTGCAGATGACACCAAGCTGAGTGGTGCACTCGATACATTGGAAGGAAGGGAAGCATCCAGAGGGACCTGGACAGGCTGGAGAAGTGGGCCTGTGTGAACCCAGTGAGGTTCAATAAGAACAAGTGTGCTTGAGGTTCAATAAGAACAAGCAAGGTGCTGCACTTGGGTCAGGGCAATCCCAGGTATTGATACCGACTGGGGGAAGATGTCCTTGAGAGCAGCCCTGCGCAGAAGGACTTGGGGTCCTGGTGGACGAGAAGCTGGCCATGAGGCAGCAGTGTGCGCCTGCAGCCCGCAAGGCCAGCTGTGTTCTGGGCTGCATGAAAAAGGGGCGGCCAGCAGGAGAGGGAGGTGATCGTCCCCCTCTGCTCGGCTCTTGTGAGGCCCCATCTGCAGCACTGCGTCCAGGCCTGGGGCCCCCAGCACAGGAAGGACGTGGAGCTCCGGGAGCGGGTCCAGAGGAGGCACTGAGATGAGCAGAGGGCTGGAGCAGCTCTGCTGTGAGGAAAGGTTGAGGGAACTGGGCTTGTTCAGCTTGGAGAAGAGTTGAGGGGAGACCTCATGGCGGCCTTCAGTGCTTGGAGGGAGCAGATAAATAGGAGGGGGAACGGCTGTTTGTGAGGGTGGATGGTGATGGGACAAGGGGAATGGTTTTAAAGTGAGACAGGGGAGGTTTAGTTTTAACTAGCTCTAAGTCAGTTGAGCAAAAAAAGTGAAAATGACTAATTTTAATAAAACCTTAAAAAAATGACAGGTAATTTAAAAGAAGTAGCCTTAAAAAATCCATTCATTTTGCAAAATGAATATCTCAATATACAAAAGCCTATGAACTCTCTATAATGAGACTGTTGGTCCACTGAAGTCAATGGAAGTCACTGCAGACAACAATGACCAACGTTATAGAGTTAAAAGAAAGCAACTCATACTGTATCAGAGTTCTGCTACTGCTCCTATGAGGATTCCTAAAGGTCCTTTTGCGAAAAGACTCACTCACACCATTCAACAAACATTCTTCATTCACTGTCTAGCTCTCTCACCAGTCCAGCCGGTATAGGCAGAGCAGTCGTGGGGATCTGCTGTCTTCAGCCCTTCCTCCATTTGCTGCAGAAGGTCCTTGATTTTTGTCTGGATCCGTTTTGTGAACTGAGCACTGACCTGTGAAAAGGAAAAAGGAGAAAAGGAGTGAGGCAAAAAGGAAAGAAGCCAGGTGTTCCACTTCTCTGTTTGGAAAAACAAACAAACAAAAAAAACCCCAACCACTAAACAACAACAACAAAAAAAAAATACTGCAGAATAAATATTATATACAGCAATCAGCAATGTCAAAGAAATAGCTAAAGGAAAATAAATATTTGTGTTTAAGACCAAGTCAAAATCAAAGCCATTACTTTAAATGATATAATTCATAATTTATTCATATCTTATTTTTAAATCTAACTGATTGCTCAATCTGTGATCACCATACAAAAGGCAAGTGATCTAGCCATAAAATGCCCTCCCTCTTACTTCCTGCTCTCCTCTCCTCCACCAAATACCATTAGGATTGGCACATTCTATCATGAGAGAAGGTTGTTAAATGCAGCAAACTATAAAAGAATAACCACTTGAAAAAATAAGCTAGGCACGAAGATATGTAAAAGCAGCTTGGCAGCTCTAGCTCATACTTTTTACCCTTTGGCACAAAGTTGAAGAAACAAACCCTTGATTTTATCCGTTCCTTGCTTTTACTTTCAGGCAAGAAAAGTTTACAGATAATTATATACTAAATACTACACAGAACACTTTATCTTGCCACCTCTTGTTAAACATAATGTGTGGGTTCAATGCATTACTGATTATTCCCTTAAGACTATGGAGCATGGAAATAGTTAACAAATAATTGTTCTCCCTACTAACCTCCATGAAAAAGTGCATTCATGAAGTCCCATCACAGGATAGATTTACATGTGCAGTGAAGACATCAGGAAGAATACTCAAAAATGTTTTATTATACACAATATGACTTGCTAATTAACTTTTGCTATTAATACATTTATTAAAACTATTTATTATATTTAAGTAGAACCTGAGAAGAAGAAATAAAAAATTTCCTTGCTAATTGGGCTGTAAGAAAAGCTTTATCAGTATCACATAGCTACACCACTCTGACAAGATAGTGATCTATGCTAATTTCACAGGGCAAAAAAATATTTCGTGAATGTTAATTTTTCACCATCTATAGAAACATCCAATCATGTGTCACTTGTCTTCCCTGTCTTAGTTACCCAGGCAGGAACAATAAGAATAGAACCTCTCTAGGAATAAGAAAGCCAGCAGCGCTCTCTCATCCCCCAAACCCAGGTGCTACAACAAAGTGGTCATCAGCATCCAGAAAAAGAGCATTATACAGTTTTGCTACTTGTCACAGACAGAATTAGCCACTCCATTCTGAATTGTGCTTGATACACTTGAATCATGCTTCTACACTTGCTTCCCAGCACACTCCCTAGTAACAGCTAGAACAAGTCAGATTGGTGAAGGTTTGCTTGATTTAAACATGTCTACATCTATGATTTCTCACTATAGAAAGTGAAGTTTAGCTCATTTAGGAAGGCAAGCTCTTGTTCCATTACAACACATTCCAAAAGGAGAGGAGTTCAGTTAAAAGGCAAATCCCAAGTGCTGCTGTGCAACTGATCACTCAGAATACGCATTTTGCATCCTGTTCAGAGTGAAGCTTCAAGCAATGAATGCAAACACAGAATCACAGAATCTCTGAAGTTTAAAAGTCATTTAGTCCAACCCCCCTGCAATGAACAGCCATCTGCAGCTAGATCAGCCCACTCAGAGCCCAGTCCAGCCTGATCTTGAATATTTCCAAGGATGGGGCATCCACCACCTCTCCAGGCAACCTGTTCCAGAGCCTCACCAGCCTTACTGTTAAAAAACAAAACAAAACACCTCCTTCCTTCTACTCAAACTAAATCTCCCCTTAGTTTGAAACCACTTCCCCCTGTCCTATCACAACAGACCCTGTTAAAGAGTCTGTCCCCCTCCTTCTTATAGTGCCCCTTTAGATACTGAAAGGTTTCCTATCTGGTCCCCCTGGAGCCTTCTCCTCTCCAAGCTGAACAGCCCCAGTTCTCTCAGCCTGTCCTCTTGACATTCACTTGATAAAGAAATCAGAAAGATAGCAGGAATCACTCAAGTCCTCTGACACACTCAGAAATGTCTAGGGTCAACAGTTCAAATCCATTTTACAGTGATGAGACAGGGGAGGGAAACTGTGCCATTATACACAGCATGTTGCACAAATATCACTCCAGACTATCCTAGGAAACAGCAAGAGCTCTTTAGCATTCTCCAATAACTTGAGAAGTAGAACCAAATACAGTAAGAAGCTGGCATCTGCTTTTCAGCTTTGATATGGCATTAAACATCTTTCTGTTAGGAAACTATACTGTCCATACAAAAAAACCCCACCCCTAGCCCTTTCAGCCAGCCCAGCGAACAAAACACAAAGGCAGGGCTTCTCTCCTTCCAAAGCTAGCTGTGCCAAAGCTTAGGCATATGGCATAGCAGCAGGAGCTGATGCATGCAGGCACAGTTCCGTTTATCTCACAAGAGTGAACAAAGGTTTTACAAAGTTTATTTACCTACTGCACCATCACAAGTAGGCTGGTTACCTTCTTGTTCTGACAATACGCCTGCTGTTACCAAAATGAGTTATTTATTAATCAAACACCAGATCAAATTACTTAAGAGGCAGGAGGAAAGAATTAGGACATCAGGACAGCTAGGTTCTCTTTTGAAACACCAGTTCCACAGAAGTAGTTTAGCTAAGGCTGGCATTTCCCTCTCTCCAGAATGTGAACTGTAACTCATTTATCTTGATTCAGTGCTAGGAAAAGCAAAAATGAAAGGATTTTTTAAATTATGGTTATAATCATTTATCAACATAAACAAAGCTAATAACAAGTTTATGCCAGTGTGGACAGGTTAAGGACAGCAGTTTTCCCCAGATAACTACTCCTCCACCACTTTCTTTCTTGCTGCTGCTCTAACAACAGAGCACTGTTACTGTTCATTTGATAGGATTCCACTATAAGCTCATAAGAAATGACTACATACAAGAGATTAATTACATAAAGAAATTAATGTTGAAAGGTGGGTTTTTAAGGTTTATAAACCTCCTTCAAGGAATCTTATGGAAGCATTACAGTCACACATAAGGCACACTAATTGGCACTGAGCTCATTTCAGGAGAAGCACATTCATTTTGTGAGGATGATTCCAGCTGGCATTCTGCCTGTTCTGCCAGCAACTCACTATTCTCATTCCTGTTGGGAAAAAAACAAAAATCAGGATACCTGCTCTTCGCTAACCAATATCACATTTACTCCACGTTCACAAGACACAGTGATAACACAGGCTGAAGAGTATCTCTCACAAGAAATGCTTCACTCCAGGAATGCAACTGCTGAATTACTCCCCCTGCTGCTGAAGGAATAACATATCACCAACCACTGCTCAACGTTTAGACCAGCAAAATGCAAATGATGAGTGCTAGTCGCCAGAAACACCCATAAGAACCCAGAACTATACTGTCTAACAAGAAAGGCTCATGAAACAAAACTAGTGCAGAAAAATACAGCTATGTTTGTTTTGCAAATTAACTGTTTTTTGACTTATTTGAACCACAGTACCTTTCCTCCTGCACTGAGTCAGGATCCAGAATGCAAAGCTACACTCCAATAAAAAGTCTTCTGAAAGCTACTACGAACTTAAGGAATGTAAGCATACCACCATTCAGCTTTGGCACTAATGACATGTTGAACAAATTACGCTGTTCTCCGCATTACTTCCTTCCTCTATTTGCATTCTTTTATTTTGCAAAACTCTTAAAAAGAACTTCAGTGATTTTTTTTGGTAAACCTGGCACTTTAGTTGCACAAATACATCTCGATGCAAATAATAATCTCCTAAAAAATTATCACTTGCACTGACACACCAATTCTTAATGAATAACTTCTTCACTACATTCAGCTGTACAGCTGTGGCTTTACAACAAAGCAGCACCAATCACTGATGAAGGAACATGCAGTTGCAATATACGTGCTTTATATTACGATTTCAGGAAATGAAGTGAAGCACATAGCTTAGAAGTCTTCCAAGCTTTAAAATAAGGTACACATATTTGCACACCTTGTGCTTCAAACGATTCACATAAGCATACCACACTGCTTATGTAAACCTGACAGAGCAATTGGCAGCCCATGGCACTCCTTCTGTGGATAGTAATAGTCTGATTTGAAAGCCACAGGATGAGTTATTTCATTTAATTTTTTCAAAGATATTTAGATATCAGGGTGCTTTTCAAGAACACCTCTCATCATCTAATTGCATCACGATGCATCTAAGTAACCTGTATAGCCTGATGGCAAGACAACAGAGAACTGAGCTCAGCTTCCTGAATAGCTGCCAACATCCCAGTCTTTCTTGTCACCATCTGTTCCCAAAACAACTGTCTTTCTGTTAATTCTTCTCTATCATGGTGAGTTCTTTTGGAGGACTGAAAAAGGAAGCAAATGATTATGCAGAAGTAGCAAAGAGATGGCCTACATGCAGAATACTATCCATCAAACAAGCAAAACTCCTCTATTTCATCTCAGCTCAAATCAGATTAAGGAACAGAGGCATTTCAGAGAGAAGTGACTTCAATATTGGTGAAGGAGAAGGAGAAGTGAAGGAGACTGAAGTGCTGAAGTCACTGAAGGAGACTACAGTGCTGGGGGTTTTTTTGGGAGGGAGGGCAAAGAGTATTTCACAAAGAAGAAAATAAACCTCAAGCTGGCACCATAGCAGGGATTCATTCAAAAATCAGCCTGCTGAGAATCACAGAATCACAGGGGTTGGAAGGGACCTCAAGACATTGAGTCTAACTCCCCCAATAAAGTACCCTAGATAGGTCACACAGATAGTTCTCCAGATGGGTCTTGAATATCTCCATAGAAGGAAACTCCACACAAGTGCAAGACTCCACACTTGCTCTTGTTAAACCTCATCAGGTTCCTCCCTGTCCAACTTTCCAGTCTGTCCAGGTGCTGTTGAGCGGACAGGGCTGTGTCACCCACTCCTCCTAGCTTTGTATCATCAGTTAACTTGCTGAGGGTGGACTCAATCCTTTCATCCAGGTCATCCGCTGATGACAACCCTTTGAGCTTTGCCAATCAGCCTATTGTCAATCTACCTCACCATCCACTCATCTATCCCACATTTCCTAGGTTTCATAATAAAAGACATGACACTGGTAAAGAAGAGCAGGAGAAAAAAAACCAAAAGGCAGCATTCCACTGAAAGATGAAACCCTGGCACTTGTGAAGTCATTGGGAACTCTGCCAGTAGCCAGGCAAGGTAGCCTAAGGTAGCCAGGTCTTACAATCCATGCGCTGCAGCATACGCTTACTGCAGTGGAATGAGATCCTGTGCTCACTCCACAGAGCTCCTGCAACAGCAGAGCAGAAACAAGGGCGGAAACAAGGAGCCCAAGAGCAGAATCCAAAGGGTTGAGCTGGGAAGCAACCCACTTTTTGTAGATAAAAACGAGATTTACTTTGTTTCTACCTAAGTCAAAACACCTTTACATCTCCAACAGTAACATTTTTTCACCTCTGAAAATATCAGGTAACAATTTCTCATAACTCAGCCCATTAAACAGTTAAACATGGGTCTCTGCTACTGCTCAATTACGTTCTTCCATTTCTGCAAAACCAAATTACTTGAAACACTGCTGTCTTAGAACATATTGCCCTATTTTTCAGTGCCATCTCTAGTTTCATGTAAGTGACAGTGAGAAAAAAAAGAGGGTGGCGGGCTAGGAGGAGGAAGAGAGAATCATTAGCTATAGGCAAACTATTACAAATGTCAACTTCAGAATAAACCTTAAATGCACATAACACCCTACCTCAGAGAACAGAGGGAAAGCCAGCAGTCCACTTCTGTTACACAACAAATTATTTAAAGCAAGACAGAAATGAGGCTGTATCTAATGCATTTACATGTAAAATAAGCAAAATATGTCTCACTGGTGACTGAGCGAGGAAAAAAAGAGTAAGATTTTAGATCATCATAAAAAAGCTTCTATTTACTGATAGCAAAAACAAATGCAATTTAACATGATTGACAGATGCTGAAGAACACTATCCCATGTTCTGGGAAACGGAGGATGATAAAGCAAAGGAGTGCTACTAACACCACTGGTACTCCAGGTAGCCTAATACCAGTGTGCTACTTCTTGACAGGCAGGAAGATAAAAAAAACTACTGTGAGTGGGATTTAAATTTACTCACTACACAGAAGTCTCCACCTCAGCTCGAACATTTTCCAGTGTTCCACAAGCTGTAAAAAAAGCTAAAATTTCTCCCAGTACTGTCTAAATTATTTTGGTGCACAGAGCACAGGAACATCCACATAGTGAATTCGACAGTACATAAATGTCCTGTAGTCAGACTCAATTACCATATATATTACAATTTCTTTTATTTTCACCATTTATTTCATTTTTATTTTCATTTTCAAAAAACACTACTACCTCCTATTGCACTTGCTCATGTGACTAGTCAGAGAATAATACCACCAAACATGTCTGCAAAATGAAACTAGAAAATGGCAAAGACAAGACAGATACAAGAAAGTTTGATCAGAACTTTGGTTTTAGTCTAAGAAAGTGTGTACTTATTCAGAATTGGCTGGCTAAAGCCAAACAGGTTTTAAAAGCCAATTAAAGTATGAAAGCCAGTCCTGAAAATTGGGAAAGATCTTCAAAAAGCATCATAGAAGTGCTAAATGGTATTTGATGCCAATATGCAGTGTGAGAAAGAAGTAGCAGCTTCTCTTCTCAGACTACTGACACTGTCCTGAGTAATGCACAGTGAGGGGCAATAAAAATGATTCTCAGCCTGAATTTTGACCAAGATTCACAAGAATTAAAATAAACTTTCCTTCAACAAGAAAACGACTTGTCATATTCAGAAGCCTATTAAAATATTACAATATCACACACCTGGCATTTTCTGGAGCACCAGAAAATGGCCAAACAAAGCAGCAGTCTGAAAGAAATGCAGATGCCACAACTTGGGAATATCCCACAACTCAGACAAAAAGATGGGAAAAAAAAAAACATTTTTTGGCACTAGAGGTTCAGTTTGGCCTTCACTGCACAAGTGGTGTGATCCACATTAGTGCAAGTGGTTGCAGAGTCAGTCCCACAACAGGTGGACCTTGCTGTTCCCAGCACAACAAATGAAATTCTCAGTGAGACAACTCAACCAACACAGGAAGAACTGCAAGGAGGGGGACCAAGAGTGAGGCAATGGAAAAAAATTTAGGCCTTATTCCCCCTCTTTATTGCACAAGAGGAAGAAGACTGAAAAGCCATTAAATTCTCAGAATGGGATACTAAATTAACCACCCAAAAGTTAAGTAAATATTCTTTATCCCTGCAAAGTGATAACTTCTCCCAGCTAAAGGCTGCTTCTGCTCCAGTTCAAGTGGAAGGAGAAAGCAAAGCACTGTACTGCTCGAGACAGTTATGTTTTGGCTCCCAACCGCAGGGGCCCATACACTTCTACAGCCACCATTAAAAACAGAAGAACTCATAATAGAACTCTCTACGATGCAAAGGAAAATACCAAAATGTCTGCTTTTCAACTACTAATACTTTCCCCAAAAAAGCAACTAAACCAAATTAAAAATTAAATTAAACTAAACAGATAAACTGTTTTTACCCCCATGAACTACAAAGTATGCTTTGCTTTCAATTTATAGCTATCTATTTATTTCTTTGCCCCTAGCTATTTACATTTCCAGTTTGAAAGCATTTGGACCACCCTAAGATGACATCTATCGGTACATTTCCAGGGAAAAGTATCACTATAGAGTTCAAATAGAAATGAAAAAGGCTATGGAATATATACATATTTAATCAAAATAGTCATTTTTTTAGTGCTACTATTTTTAAAAAAGTAAATCAGCAGGCCAAAATCCTGTTTGCTCCTCTCTTCCTCCCACACTCTAACTTCTTTACATATACCCTATGCATATAAGCACACACATCCACATGCAGCACTTTGCCCCAGTTGTCTCACATTCTGGACAATGACTTGAAGAGCTCCTTGTCCTTTTATCAACTGGATTAACTTTACATAGCAAATATGGCAGCTTATGAAATCAAACGGAGGGCATAATAATGCAGTGCCTTCTGTGACAACAACAGAACCCCATACAGTTCTCGCTGTCATTATGTGAGTCAGTCAATTCTCACCATTGCACACATCAGCAGATGGCAGGAAAAAAAAAAAAGACACAATGCACATAGAGCTTCTGAAGGCTAATTTCATTTTTCGGAAATTTGTGCTAGTGCACAAAACAGTTTACAGAACAGTAAGTCTCTCAACCTGCGTAAAGTCCTTTCACCCTCACAGACGCCTTAGATGTTCCTCTGACAGGACTAGAGTCTGTTCAATGCAGCAAACAAGCAAACAAACAAAAATAAGCACACACACACAAAAAATCAAAGCAAATCAAAATGACTACCCTAAAATACCCACCAGGAAGTCTCAAAAAGGCAGTATGGAATAAGGACTGATTAGAGGCAAATGTTGCCAACAGTATAAATACACACAAACTTGGAGTCCAAGCCATGCTCTAACCCAGAAATACACAGAATCATTACTCAGAAATTGCAGACGCAGAAACAAAATGTAGGCACAGATCTACTCTCTCCAGCAAAACACAGAGCTGAAAAAACTCCTAGTAGGCCTGCTGAAAGTTGCTGTAACTACACTGCTTCAATGCAACACAGAAGATGACTTGTTTTTTTTCCAGAGGAGTTCCATGCTTTTGAACACTGCAAAGCCCCCTCTTTGTCTTCATACTCCAACTCAAAACATGCGGATAGGTTTTTTCATACTTTAAGCCAAATACAAAAGAAATCACAGTTCTTTCCAGGAAAAAGAAAAAAAGAAAAAAGGAAAAAAGGAAAAGAAAAAAAAAAAAATTAATGCTGGGTATTACTGTCTAGGATTTCTGCAAAAACAAGATTTTACTCACAAATCTACCTTTGCTTTTTAAACTTTTTCAAGCTCCATGATCTGCTTTTGACAGCTGCAACGAGCTCAAACAGTAAGAAACCAAACCCCAAGAGCACTCCTTTCTGTGCACCCACACAGCTTCATTCACTCCACTCCCAACAATTAGTAAAAGCTCTAACTCACCCTGACCAAGAGCTAGCATGTGCCTTGCTAAGTTTTATCACGCTCACATGCACTGCACTTCACCCAAGCACAGGTGAGTGAGAAAAGTTACTTCTGCACCTTACGCATTTGTACTTCCAGCAGCGTCACCACGCAGTATCTTCATTGGAAAGATGACATTCCTTCCGTAGCTTACACCAACTCGTGTGCAAACAGCCCAAGCATTTTTTGCCTGAGATGCATGTGGGAGAGCAGCTCACCAGCAGCACACGGTGTCAAGAAAACAAGCAGAGTAGAACTGCCCTCAGCGTTACCGCACAGGCCTCCTGCAGGCCACCCAAAATAAAGCGTTTTCGGGAACGTAACCACATGCCTTAAGAGTCACCACTGAAGGGAAGGGCCCAGCGAGCACCGCTGCCGCCCACCTGTGCGCAGCCCCTCCTTGCTCAACGCAGGGCGGCTGCGACGCCGCCGGGCCGCGAGAGGCCGGCGGGGAGCCGCTCCGCATCTCCTCTCCCGTCCACACACTCCCTGAGCCGAACTTGGGAGGGCCGCAGGCGGTACCGCAGGAGAGCGGCACCCATTTCGGGGCAAGCAGCCCCGAGTCCGGGCACGGAGCCCGGCCCGCCCTGCACGCAGGCCGCGGGCGGCCCGGACGGGCAGCAGGCCCGGAGGCGCGCAGAGCAGCTCCCTGCCGGCCCTCACCTTCCCGTCCGCGCCAAAGGGGAGAGCGTCCTCCGACGCCGGCGGCAGCAGCGCGCGATCCCGCTGGGCCTCCGCCGCTCCGTGGGCTGCCGCGGCTCCCTGGGGCTGGTAGTCGGGGTAGGGGTTGGCGAAAGCCCGCTCCTCCATCTCCGCCTCGCCGCCCAGTTGCAGCTTCAGCCTCTTGGACACGCTCTCTCCCATCTCGGCCGGCCCCCGGCCCGCCTCCCCGCGCGGCAAGCCGGCGGGGACGCGCTCCGCCTGGCGGAGCGGCGAATCGCGGCGGTGCCGGCTCCGCGGCCGGCGCCGGCTCCCGGCTACGGCCGCCGCCCGACAGGCGCGGGGTCGGACGGGCCGCGGCGGCCCCGAGGCACTGGCGGGGGCGCGAGGAGCGGCCACCAATACATCGAGCCGCCTCAGGGCGGAAGAGCCGCCGCCCCCGAGCAGCGGCGACTCGGCGCGGCGAGCGGGGGCCGCCGTTACCGCGGGCGCCGCCTCGCCTCCCCGTCAGTCGGGGCGAGGGGGCGGCGAGCGCGGCAGCATCACGGCTGCGGGGGCAGAACGCGGCCGGGGTCGCGGCCGTGCCCCCCCGCGGGGAGAAGCGGCCCGCCGGCCCGCGGTGCTGCTCCGCGGAGCCCGCCCGAGCTCCTCATCCTCCTCTGCCGAGGCGTCCGGCCCTCGGCTCGCTGCCGCCGGGCCGCGAAGCGGGGCTCCCGCCGGCTCCGCGCGTCAAAGCAGCAGCAGCAGCGCGAGGGGTAAGGACAGCCCCAGGAACAAGCAGTACGCGAGGATCTGTTTCGCCCGGCGCATCCGCGACCTCCGGCGGCCCGCGCTCATCCGGAGGCGGCCGGAATCGCCGCGGTACGGAGAGGGAAAGAGGCGGCGACGGCCCCGAAGCCCGCCCGCCTGCCCTGAGAGCAGAAGGCGGCCCTCGCAGTCCGCCCAGAGCCGGGTGAGGCGGCGGCCGCCCCTTGCTGGCGGGAGAGGCGGCTGCGGAGGGGAGGCGTGGGCGGTAAGATTAGCGTAGAAGCAGCCTGTCCCAGCACCGGCTTCAGCTTACGGTTGTTGGTGGGCTACAATTTGATCATGTAGCGTGTCCGTTATCCTGCGGAGTGGCATAAATATTAAGAAATACTTGTTTTTAACAACTGATCTGATGACTAAGCAAAAATTTAAACAGCTTGTCCACAGCAGATTTACGTGCTCTAGAAGCAAAAATGACCGTTGACTCAAAAATGACACAACAGTCCATGAAATAATGTGTTCTGTAATAACCTAAAAAATTCAGTGTTTTTCTCTTTGAAGGAAGTCTTTTATGCTGAGTGTGAACCTAAATGTGTAAGCACAAAATCTTTTAAACAAATCTCGTGTCTCCATGAAGACATCTTGCTAGGAAAAGTGCATGTTTCTGTCTAAAATGGTGTCTTGCCCTCAGTTGGCAAATCCTGCAAAGGTTGTGCAGTCCTGCAGCAAGACGAACACCTTTCAGTCCTGCGGGTGAAACTGCAATAAAAGTTTAACCAAGGTCTAACACCTGCTTAACAGAAAACTAGACTAATCATTCTTTACACAGGAGGAATTCACAAGCCTCTCTTTTTTACTTAATCTGTGCTTTCCCTCCCTGTAATTCCCCTTGTATCCCACTAAGTCCAGTACCTTACTCCTGATGGGACTACTGCCAGTTTTTAAAGCACTAAAATAAAGTATCTGTGACTTTGAGCCAAGACTGAACAACCATTATCCATGCATAAGCCATTAACAATGCTGTGGTTTCCCACATGTTTTGCTGTATGATCGTTAGTGTGCTTAGTAAATTATTTCAACAAGGGGAGAAAGAGCTGTATATCTCAGAGCCAGTCCTCCCAGGGCTAGTGCTCAGCTGCTCCTCATGCTATGCCTCACAAGAGCTACATCATACAATATAAGCAACATGATGTGGCTTATATAATCTACAAGAGCAACCATCAGGAATCTCAGAATCATTAGCTGTGACACATTTAATGGTTCCTTCAACAGCTCTGTTCCTTCTTTTCACATTAGCTGTTAAGCTGTCATTTACTTATGTGTGTAGCGCCTCCAGACGTGCAAGCAACAGCTCCATTTGTGTTTTATTCAGCGGAAACCAGATGATGAGTATGTGACTGATAAAATACCTTGTAAATTGAGGAGAACCAGTGCAGCAGCTGCATTAATCTCATTTTATTTCTCAATGTGCATTGATGAGGTTCAGCTCATCTCTGGTACATGAATAAAAGGGGGCCAGGCTGGGCACTGCCTTCTTCAGTCTATTATGTGGAAAAACAAACCAAGGCCTCTTTTTATCTGCTCAACAAAACAGTGGAGATTGGGCAGTTTACACCTGCTGAAAATCCAGGATCATACCTTTATTTGCCATGAAAATTACAGTATTTTATACAGACCTTTGCTTTCTCTTCAGTCTGCTTTTTTGTCTATACTGTAGTCCATGTCTGTTTTGCAGAACCCCATTTTCTTCTCTGACACTGCTATAGGCCTATAACAGCCTACAAAGACTTCCTTATCATCTCTTCACCATTACTGTTGCATTCCACTTAATTATATTTCCTAATTTCTTTTTTTCTCCACCACTGTCTATCGTGCTCTGCAGTTAAATTACTTGAAACAGTATAGGCCTAATAAACTCTGTTGGACTTTTTGTATTGAATGTGATACATCAAATTTGCAGGATCAGGCTTTGTATGTTAATTGTAAAAGTCTTCCAGACTTTGGATGAAATTCAGCCCTGTGTTTCAATTTATCTTCAGGCAGAGTATAACTGTTCACAAGAACTGGTGGTTTTGTGTGATATACCATACTTATTTCCCATAGCAACAAATTTCTGTGTCTGCTATGAATAACTGATCTCTGTAATAGAATAACTTTGTTATTCAATATAGCAGAGATTTCTATGTATCTGTTAAGACACTGTGCAACTCAAACACCAAGTAATAATACTTCCATATAGTTGTGGTTTTGTGCTTTTTTGTGTTGTTTTTCTTTTTTAAAATTTTTCTGTTCTTTCCTCTTTTAGCAAAAACAAAATAAAAACAAACAAACAAAAAAGTTGCATCAAGTCTATTGCAATTCTGTTTTGATGAGTGCACACTAATAAATGATAAGGCTGAGCAGCAGTTTTTGCTTTTCAAGTTGTTTTTAAATAATGGATTTTGTCATAATCAAACATTTAGGTTCCTTATCCCCTTAATCCTAGTGCTCTTGATTTTTCACCTTCTGAGGAATACAACTAATAATGAAATTATGCAGAGATGTCTGTAAATGTTCTCACTGCTCTTTACTCTCCATGATGAAAATTGAACCAGCTTACTGCTATTAAAATGTACCCTTAATAATCTTTGGCATATCACTGGATTTTCAAAGGAGATGATACTAACCCTGAGAAGATTTGTAAGCTCAGGAAAAGAACATCCCAGTTAGTAAAAAAGCAACTTTCCAAAAGACAAGGAGAGTAACAAACAGGTGAAATATGTGTGCTGTTAGGCTCCCTGTGGCTGGGCTAACAATACGCCTTTGCTCCATACAAAGGAGCAACAAAAAACTGACAATTTCCTTTCTCTAAGGAAGCTGTCTCAATTTGGATTTTCAAATTTCTGACTGTATCCCTACTACAACTATTTTCTTATTTCTTCTGGTACCCTTTGAATGGCACAATGACAATGTGACTTAAAAAGTAGCCCCAGTTATTTTTTTGAGATAAGAATAAATGAAAGACCCAGGCCTGAGATTCACCAGAAGTAACAGGCTTGGTGCTGTAATGCACAGGGTTCTCTCACTCCTGTTTGAGGGGAAGGTTTATGTTCTTCAAAATATGCTTCATGGCTTCGGATGCTATCTTCAGTGGTTTTCATCATGTTAGGACACAGAGGAATAACGAAGAGTATATTTTGGGGGATAATCAGGAAAAACACAAGCACCTTCAAGCAGAGTGGCTCTAGAACTTTTGTAGGCTGAGGAAGAATGGCAGCAGTAGAAGAAGGGAAAAGAGAGGCAAGGGTAGACAGTAGAATATGTGGTAGACAAGACAGGGGAAAAAAAAACAAAAACAGGACTAGTGGATGCCATGCTGCTCTTACTAAGGAGGTGAGTGCTGACATATTTGTTTGTCTAGATTTTAAATACACCCCCAAGAAGAGTCATGTGTTTGGCAGCTTTTTACGTGCCCTGATGATCACTTTATCTGAAGATGTCTGGCCTGCCACAACAATGGAAGGGCTGAGAGGTCAATTATTTAACAAGAGACCTGCATAACGAAAGCAGTGTAGGTGAAAAGAGAGCCAAAGCTACTCAGATGTCTCAGCTGATCAACAATTAATTGCTCCAGCTCTTGGGACTATGCCATTTGTAGAACTGTATAAAGTCTCATTTTCTGCTGTATGTTTTATTCTTGTTCATGCAAGCTGTGGAAAGGTTTGTTTGTTTGTTTGTTTGTTTGTTTGTTTGTTTTTATGAGCATATGATTTTCAGAAGCCTGGATCAGAAAACAGTTTACTAAGACGTTACGGGAGCATTCAACGCTCAGCAGGATTTTTTCCCTCTTGTGTACACCTTGTGTGTTTTAGTGAATACTGCCTGATTCTGCAAAGAGCAGCAGGCAGTTCTTTTTACATCTCTTGTGTGTGCTCCATGCAGCCCTAATCATGGAAGCAGGAACTGCCTCATTTGGTGCCTTGAGTCCTGAGATGAGAGTACGAAGAACTGGGCTAAAACACATGGAGACAGGTGGAGGTCATTAAAATCATAAACATTTTTCCTGCCTTAATTGAAAGGCAAAAAGGGAATCACATTCATGTGGAAAAGATCCTAACACAGTCCTCATATAGAAAGGGAATCCATATGGATGTCAATTTATTGATTTGTATACAGTACATCTTCTTGTAGCCCTGAGGGGAGCAGCATGGGGAGCTGGAGTACTTCCACAGATGAACAGTGATGACTTGGGACATGATCCCCTTGTTATCATACCTCTTCCCACCCAGGGCTTTAGACTTCATCTGACCCTTCAGAATGCACAGATTGTGCCATTAGCCTCTCCATTCCTGGGATTTCAGCATCCCGGGGTTGGGAAGAGAGAGAAACATCAAAAGATTTTATTATTATTATTTTTTTCCCTGTTACAAACTGAAATACATCTGATCCAAAAAATGCATATTGCAAAATGTGCCTGGCAGATCTTATAATTTGAATTCTTCCTGTAGCCTGTGCGTCTGATGTGCATCTCT